CCCCTCGCAGTACCCTCCAGGAATACACTGCAAAACTTGTTCATTTACGAAGCAACTTGTGGGGCGGGGGCAAGCCGCAAGAGGGCGGAAGGGCTTTCTTTTGCGTAGGTGTGGCTCGGCCATGTTTCCTTGCAAAGGTGTGGCTCGGCCTTGGTTCTTGGTTCGGGGCTGCGAATACTGTAAATTGCAGCATTGCAGAGGCTGCATATACTGTAAATAACAGCGTTTGTGCGTTGCCAGAGCCTGCAAATACTGTAAGTAGCGGCATTTCTGCGTTGTCAGATGTTGCAAATACTGTAGCAGCATTTCTGCATCTTCAGAGGCTGCAAATATTGTCAATAGCAGGATTTCTGAGTTTGGATCTGAGTTGGGAGAGGCTGCACATGCTGGGGGTTTGGTCTCGGCAAGCATAAGCGGCATTTCTGAGTGCTGCAAATATTGTCAATTGCAGCATTTGCGCGTTGCCAGAGCCTGCGAATGCTGTTGTTAGCAGCATTTCTGCGTTGTCAAAAGCTGCAAATAATGTAAATAGCAGCATTTGTGCGTGTGTAGAGGTCGCAAATACTGTCGTTGGCAGCATTTCCGAGTTTGCAGAGGCTGTAAATACTGCACAAGTAGCAGCAGTTCTGCGATTTCAAAGGTTGCAAAGACGGTAAATAGCAGCAAGTTTAAACCCCCCCCTCCCCCATTTGCAACACAATGCTCGCAGCGTTTGAAAAAAGAGTGTATGGCTTATAATTGGTTTTGTAAACACAGTGCTCGCATCATGTGTTTGAAACTGTACGGCTGAAAATGGGTGGCACCCTTGAAAAAAGCAAGGGGTTGGGGGGGGAGGGGCAACCCCCCCCCATTTGCAAACACAATGCTCGAATCATGCGTTTGAAGAAAGACTGTACGGTTTCGGCTTAAAATGGGCAGCAGCCTTAAAACAAGCAAGGGGGGTTGGGGGGGGGGCCGGGGGGGCAGCCCACCCCATTTGCAAACACAACGCTCGCATGATGGGTTCGTACGACTTGAAGCCCCCTTTCCCCATTTGAAAACACGATGCTCGCATGATGGGTGTCAGACAAAATGTTCTTTCGAAGCTTTGTGCGTCTAAAAAGAGCGGGGGGTTGGGGGGGGGGGGGCAGGTGCCTTGGACGCTTAACGTCTATTCTGCGCGTGCTCTTTGTTTTCTTGGATTCTTCCCGAAAACAAATTCTGTTCTTGGGTTCTCGTTTGGCGCTTCAACGCGGAAAGCGTTCTATCGGATCGCTTTTTGGCGAAAGAAGCCACGAAGAGGAGACGGTCAACATTTTGACAGGAGACGACACGGTCAAAGAAGGGGTGACGGACAGGTTCGGGGAGGGAGCACGGATGGGGAGCGTGACATTCGGTTGATGGGCAAGGGAGTGGGGACACGTGGACGCCCCTCCGAGCCCTGCGCGTGCTCCGCGCCCGCCGTACCCGCCGCGCCCTCCGCGCCGATCCGCGCCTTCAGCACCCTCCGCGCCCTCCGCGCCCTCCGCACCCTCCGCGCCATCCGCGTCCTCCGCGCTCTCCGCGTCCTCCGCGCCCTCCGCGTTCTCCGCGCCCTCCGCGCCCTCCGCGCCCTCCGCGCCCTCCGCGCCCTCCGCGCCCTCCGCGCCCTCCGCGCCCTCCGCGCCTCCGCGCCCTCCGCGCGCTCCACGCGCTCCACGCCCTCCGCGCCCTCCGCGCCCTCCGCGCCCCCGCCCGGGACACAGTGTGCGTGCTGATGCTATAAGGGTGCATTGCGTCTATTCTGCGGGTGCGTTGCATCTATTCTGCGGGCGTTTCCTTTGTAAAGTCTTTGCTTGCAAGGCACGCACGTGCAGCATAGCCTTTAAGTGTCCATCTTACGGGGGGGGCAGCCCCCCCCCCCCCCCATTTGCAACACAATGCTCACATCATGCGATTGAGAAAAAAACTGCGCGGCTTAAAATGTGCAGCAGTCTTAAAAAGCGGGGGGGTTGGGGGGGCATAGCCCCCCTCCCCCACTTGCAGTGCTGGGCTCACACGACTTAAACCCACCTCCCCCATTTGCAAACACGATGCTCGCGCGATGGGTTCGCATTTCCAAAATTTTGCAAACACGATGCTCGCATATTGGTTCGGAAAACGTATGTTTTCTGAAAGCTTCGCACATCAAAATGCCGGTTCAACACGGAGCAAAGAACATGTGTTCTTTGAAGAAAGCTTCGCACGTCTAAAAGAGCGGGGTTCAACACGGAGCAAAGTCGAGCCAAGCCAATCCGGGGCGAGCCAAGCCCCAACCAACCAGGGCAAGGCCGTGCCTAGCAAGCCAACTTCAGCCGAGCGAGGCAAGCCCAAGGCGAGGAAAGCCGAGCCGAGCCGAGAAAAGCCAAGCCGAGCCAAGCTGAGCCAAGCTGAGCCAAGCCGAGACGAGCTAGGCCAGGCCGAGCCAAGCCACGCCAAGCCAAGCCGATTCGCAATTGTTTTACTCCCTGCTGCGCCTGGTCCCAGAGCAAGTGTGCCACTCAGCAACAACCTACCTGCACGCTTGAGGATCTGGAGACTGGACACGCCAAGCGCAGGCCCAGTAAGGAAGCCTACTAGCCCACCAGACACCGGGAAGGACGGCCCTTCCTGCCAATTGGGGCCCTCCTTCCGGAATCTCCATGCCCGGGTCCGGAGAACCCATAGCCTTCAGGTTCGCGATCTCTTTCCCGCGCTAAGGCCCATAGGCTTCCGGCTCGCGATTTCTCACCCGCTGCTCCCAGGTCGCAAAAGCCCATAGGCCTCAGTTTCGCCAACGGCTCCCGGGTCCGGGAAGCCACAGGCTGCCTCGGGTTCGCGAAAGGTTAGCAGGGAAACCTACAATCCCGGTGACCTATCCTTATGCAATTTGCAGGGACTGGCCAAGAAGCGGCCTTCTTGGCAGCCTGCAGCTTGCGGCTGCAGGGACACAGCAGGCGTTTGGGCATGCTGCAGCTTGGATGCCACAGAGCCTGCAAGCAGCTTCCTTGCTACTGCGCCTGCTTTCAGCATGTGTAGTCTCCAGGTCCTCAAGCGTACGGAGGTAGGTTTTCATTGACAAGATGCACAGCAGGTCCAGCTGCCACGGCAATTTTCGTCAATTTGTTGCAGCGTCTAGAGTCTCTTCAGCCACCGAAAGCTTTCACAGCCTTTGCGACCACTTGTCCACGTGGCTCAATGCGTGTGATAAACTCGCTAGGTCTAAGCATTTCCTCCTGACGCGTTGTTAGTTGTTGTGAGCCAACATTTCCCATCGCATAACATCTGGCCGTAGTGATCTGCCTCTTGTATTGCACTGGCCATGCAGCCATCAGAAAGGCCTGTGGTGTTTCTACATTTGTTAATTTGCGCCTAACCTGTGTCCCTCTGCTATAATTGCCCTTAGCTAGGCCGCTTCTCTTTGCCTCGGCCTTTCATAACTGCCTGGGTTGGTACCTCCATAGTGCACTACTCTCCGAATAGGGGCCTGTCCCACGCTAGAAAGCAGCTAACGAGCTACCAATCAAACGAATGTCCGGCGAAGCCTTGCCGACCATTCATGTACTATGCTGCCAGGGCTCTTGCATGTAGTCGAGCATTGAAGGAAATGATAAACTCAAACCCGAACTCAAGTCTCGGCTCAACCCCCTTGGAGGCCAAGCAGAGCCAAGCCCAGCCAAAGCCACGCCTTCGCAAGGGGACAAGCCAAGCCAAGCCACACCTTTGCAAGGGGACAGGCCCGACCCACACCTTTGCAAAAAACAAACCTGGGCCCGACCGAGAAGAGAACCAAAAAGGAAAAACAGCTTTCACCTAAACCCAAAAAAGAACAGAGTGCATACAGTAAGAGAAGGATGTGAGTTTGAAGAAGAATTCTGTGTCTCTCTTTCAGGCTGGTGCACTAGGAGCTCCCCGTCCTTCTCGGGCCACGCGCAGAGCGGCCGGAGCCGGAAGGGAGGCTTCCGGAGGTCGTAGCCGCGGAAGCCCTGCGACGGAGTCGGAGACACGAAGCTGAAGGCCGACGACCTCTCAGCAACAACACACAGGAAGCACAGGAGAAGAACTAGCTGGAACGAAACAACGAGCACACACACATAGAGAGACAGAAGTACAGACCACTTACTTGCTTAGTTCTCCTCACATACTTTCCCTAGAGCTAAGTACACCTTTAAACTGCCTCTCCGCATGAGATCTTCTGGGCGTGAAAAGTGCTCTCAGATCTCTCGCAGTTGAGACTGTGAGCAGTGGTGAGCGCCCCAGGGACCGAGGCTTCGGCCCGCCGTAGGCATCGAGGTCCCGGTTCTGCTTCTGTGGCCAAGAGGACAGGAGCAAGAAGCGGGGAACTGGCCGTAGTGATCCGAGGTTCTTCAGCAGGCCCAGGGCATCCTTGATTGAGAGGTGCTGGAAAACCTCAAAGGACAATGGACGCCCCAAGCTGGCTGAGATCCAAGATCTGAGCTAAGCAGCTAAGCCCTGAGCAATCTGATGAAGTCTGACGCACCCTGCCCATACCCCAAGGCACTCGACTGAGATCTCCGGCTTTCAACATCATCGTTGTCCGCTCCACTCGGTCACTTTGACAGGTGGAAGCTAGCCTTTTCGACTTCCAAAGTCAGGCATTCCAAAGTCAGGCAAACAGAACCCCCGGTTCGAACTGGCCGCGTAAAGAATACCGAGACTTCATGGTTGAGAGACAATGCACGAAAAGTGCGAGTCATGGCCAACTCCCCTTCAAGGATTCTAGACCCCCCTGCGAAGGCACGACCTTTGCTTGGTGCAGCTCTTTGGAGGGCGAGGGGCATGACGCACGACGACCACGGAGTAGCCCCAAAGTGGTGAAGGCAATGACGCAGTGCATGCATCCAAGGCCTTATCTTCGTCTCCTACATTCCTCCCTTCCCTTTCGGCCCACCTTCCACACCCTCTCTGGGACTTGTAAACTTCGTAAGGACGTCGGACTTTGTAAGGCTTGCGGTAAGGTTTATGGCATCCGATACTATGCCAGGATATACTGCAGGACCAGTCTACTTCTTGCACAGATCTGATGCAAACTTTGCGGGGAAATGCATGTCAAATGGCCCGCAGACATGAACTTTGAGCTTGCTGAGCAGAAGGCAACACTGCCTAGGATGTTCGATGACCCTCTTGAAATACATTGGAAAGTACGACTCGCCTCCTGTCTTCAAGCTTGTCCTGAAATCCCACGGAAGGGCCCAAACGCTCACTAGCTGTCCCTTGGCTTGTCGCCGCGAGGCGGTAAAGTGGAAGGAGGCGTCGCAAGCGCCGCTACAGCCGCCAAAGTGTTGGCGCAGGAAGCGGATCGGCCGCTGGGCGATGTCCAGGCCATGGTAGAAAACCTTCGCTGGCAGCATCCTCCGCTCCACAGCGCGGCGAAGCAACGTGGGCAGCCACTCCCCCCAGCCGCAGCCCACGTCCAGAAGGGACAACCGATTTCTGGCCGGGCCCGGCCGACTCTTCGAACTCTTCGAACTCTTCGAAGTCCCGAACCTCACGAGGAAGCGCAGGAGCCTCTGAGACAGTTCGTCGGTGGCTGCCTCCGTGGAGCCGCCGCCTCACATCGCGAGCCGTGTGGCAGCCGTGGGCCCAAGAAACTTGATCAGGCCGCGAACCCAAATGAAGTGACTAGGTCAGCAGTTGTTGAGGGGAGGGTCGACCGCTCATATCAACCACAGTAGCCAAAGGAGGTCACCAATTGAGCATCAAAATCTGAAGCTTCTGTTGAAAATTCACCGCTCCCACACTCCTTGCGAAGAGAAAGAGGAACGTGTTTTCAGAATATCAAATCTGATGAACACGAGGCTCACTAGATTCTTTCTCTGTTGATACAGAAGACGATTGGTATGAACACATTGGCATCTGTCCAACAAACGGAAGGGCCTTCTTCAGAAAACATTCATGTTTTGAATGCGGACACTGGAAGCTGTGTCTCTGCACTACAAATGTAAAATCAGTTCAGGAATCCCTTTCCAATTTGATCATGTAATCCTGCCATAAGGCTTCAAGAGTGTCGCAGTCCCGGGATGGCGACCCTGACATGCACATCCGTCAGAACATCGCGATACATCGCGACTCTCATCACTTCTGGCCATCGAACACTACAGATGCCCCCAAACATCTTCAAAGCGACGACAGTTGCGAGCCTCGTCACGCGCGAGCGCTTGCAAACGCTTTCAGACACTCGCGAACGCAGACACCTCCCTAAACCCCCGAACAACTCAAGTCTCAAACCGAGAGCCCTTCACCGCAAGTTGGGGAAGAAAATGCACGTCCTCTCCCGTTGATTCACACGACCCCCATGTCGTCGCATATACCATTACATGTGTGTAAGACATCCGAACGCATTGCTCTACATTTGTCTACATCGACGCACCTGAGGAGGCCCTGCCCCAGTGTCCGGTGGCATGTATCTCTTCGAAAGCCAAAGAACGGTAGGTGGGGAGAGCCTGGCCAGGGCAATCGCGCATGCTTAAGGAACAGGAGAACAGTGCAGTAGGATGGCCCAGCAGAACTTCCGGTAACACTTCTTCTGGTGTGCTTTGTTGCACTCTGTAGGAAACTTTGTTGTGGGAGCTTAAGGTCTTTTAAAGGGTTTAAAGAAAAAACAAAGCAAAGGAAGCAGCTCAAAGTAAGAAGCGAAGCAGAGCAGAGCAGAGAAAAGCAGAGAAAAGCAAAGCAAATCAAAGCAAAGCAAGGCAAGCAAAGCAAGGCAAAGCCAAGCCAAGCCAAGCCAAGCCAATCAAAGCAACGCAAAGGCAAAGCAACACAGAGCCAAGGCAAAGGCAAAGGCAAAGGCAAAGGCAAAGGCAAAGGCAAAGGCAAAGGCAAAGGCAAAGGCAAAGGCAAAGGCAAAGGCAAAGGCAAAGGCAAAAGAAGAAGCAAAAGCAAAAGCAATGGCAAAAGCAAAAGCAAAAAAAAACAAAAGCCAAAGCAAAAGCAAGGCAAAAGCAAGCAAAAGCAACAGCAAAAGCAAAAGCAACAAGCAAGAAGCAAGAAGCAAAAAAACAAAAAGCAAAGCAAAGCAATGCAAGGCAAGGCAAAGCAATATAACGTAAAGCAATTCAATGCAAAGCAAAGCAGGCAAGGCAAAGCAAAGCAAAGGCAAGGCAAAACAAAGCCAGGACGCGAGCATATCCCGGAGGGTTATCGGCAAGAGGACATGCTTTAGGACTGATCTGCGCTCATATCATATGATATGCACTCTGGTGGGTCGCGCGCTGATCCGAAGACCTGATCGGAAAACATGGAGGCCTGCTCGGAAATCGTCCCGCACCCTTCTAAAAGCACGGGGGGGCCCTGTTTTGGGAACAGAGGACCCCTGATCGCAAAACAAGCGCCCAGAACCCGTACTACCGAAAACCCTGAACAACGCTGAAGCCGTAAACCCTCCAAACTCTGAAATCCTAAAACAGGCCTAAACACCCACAACAAAAGAACACGTAAGAACACCGCCCTAAAACCTTCAACGCACCAAAACCTCTTGCGCTGTGCGAAGCCTTCATGTCCCCTGAATGGAGCCCTCGGATTTCTACAGCCCCTTGACATTCTTCCCAGCGGGTGTTCTGGGCCGCTTGGGCCGCTTGGTTCACTCAATCCCTGGGCCTGGAGGGCGGTGTGCATCTCTGAGAGCTGGCGACTGGCCTGGGCCAGCCGCTGCTGCATCGCGTTGCCCCTGGACCGAACCCGGAAAGCCCAGGTGGAGGCCTGTTCGAAGGCCAGGTGGACCACGTACTCTGCCGTCACCACGCGCCGGATCACACCCAAGAAGCCCAGGAATCTCTCGCTTCTGTCGCTTCTGTCGCTTCCGTCACCTTGAGCGCTGTCATCCTCGCCGTTCTGGTGGGCATGCTGAAACACTTCCAGTGCTTGCCACGCGCCTGAAGCAAGATTCACAGCGATGCTCTGAGCTCTCTGTACGAATTTCCGTGGCAGTTTCTTGCGGTGCCATTTTATCCAGCCCCGGCCTTGGGACAGAAGCCGGCGCTCCTCACGGAGACTCTGCCGGTCCGCCTCGCCCAGCTCGCGCAGCTCGCGCAGCCCAGGGAAGGGATCCGAGGCTGAGTGGTTGCCAAGTTCGTCTCGGCCTCGGTCTTCCGAACGCAGCGCGCAGCTGCCAGCTTCAGTGATAAGGACGACGAAGGCCTCCCGAGGCTCAACTTGTGACTCAACTTGCTGCAACTTTGAGTACTTGCTCTCTCCTCGTTTGGCTGCTTTTCGTTGCGATCTTGTCATCAGGAGTCTAAAGTTGAGAGATTCCTCACACAAATGGTTCAAGCTTCTTCGTAACATATCGTAACATCAGGGCAAGCACGAACAACCAAGAACCAGTGGAATCTAAGGTAGTCACTTCTACATCTTCTGGCTTTCAAACTGCTACCAGCTGCTAGCACACCAATGATTCTTGTTGGCACGCGTGCCGCTCATTTCCTGCATGTGAACCCAGAAATCACCACTTGACCGTCAAGACTACAACATGTCAAAAACGAACCAAGTGGTGCTTGTCCCTGCGTGCTTGTCAGAGCACACAGCATACCTAACCGCAAGCGGTCAGAGGAGTCTTGCCTAAATCAGCGTCTTGTACGCCGGCTTCGTCTTAGCTAACGTGAACGAGGCGCAATGACGTGAACCTCATTGCTTGAGGGCATGTTTGTGCTGGATGTGCAAGCGGATACGCTGACAAGTGAACCCACATGCATCATCGGAGGAAGAATCAGCATATGCGTGAAGGCAATCTGAAGAAAAATAGTTGCCTGAGAGGGAGAATGTTCAGAACTGTTACAGTCAAAAAGCCTTGCGCTCGGAAAGGACACAATCCGGCACGTCTCCACACCGACTCCACTTTACCCTTGTAGAGGTTGCCTTCGCGTAACGCAGGTGTGTTCACAAGGGGCTCCTTAAGCCAGCTACAACAGCACAGGACGTGAAGAGGTGGAAATTCAAAATATATATTCTAAATCAGTGCAAAGATTGTGTTGGCAAGGGCCGTGTCGGCTTCTTCTCATTGCGAGCTGCTGTTGCATCTGTTTTTGCTGTTGTTGGTGCTGGCGCTGGAGCTGGTGCTTGTGCTGTTGCTGCTGTTGCCGTTGCCGTTGCTGTTGCTGTTGCTGGTGTTGCTGCTGCCGCCGCCGCTGCCGCCGCCGCCGCGGCTGCGGCTGCTGCTGCGGCGGCTGCTGCTGCTGCTGCCGCTGCTGCTGCTGTTGCTGCTGCTGCTGGCGTTGTTGCTGTTGTTGTTGTTGTTGTTGTTGTTGTTGTTGTTGTTGTTGTTGTTGTTGTTGTTGTTGTTGCTGTTGTTGTTGTTGTCGTCGTCGTCGTGGTTGCTGTGGCTGTGGCTGTGGCTGTGGCTGTGGCTGTGGCTGTGGCTGTGGCTGTCGCTGTCGCTGTCGCCGTCGCCGTCGCTGTCGCTGTGGCTGTCGCTGTCGCTGTCGCTGTCGCTGTCGCTGTCGCTGTCGCTGTCGCTGTCGCTGTCGCTGTCGCTGTCGCTGTCGCTGCCGCCGTCTCCGTCGTCGTCGCCGTTGTTGCTTTTGTTTCTGGTGATGCTGCGGTTGCTGCTGTTGCTGCTGTTTCTGTTGCCGCTGCTGCTGTTGTCGTTGGCCCCAAACCCTCTGGTATGACCTATGGCCGCTTCCTATACGCTACCAAAGTCTCTCTTTTCCATGTGCCGATTCGTGCCGGACTGAGAACCCGCGCTGCTCGCCTCTAACTTCGAGACATTCGGAGCCACAGAGAACTGGAAGCGACGGACGCGCTCCAGGAAGGCTCGGGGCTCCTGTGTGAAGTGCCCGCCCATCAGTTACAAAGGCAGCGAACTTTCACGAGTGACAAAAAAAATGCAAGAAGTCGGAAAAGGAAAGAAGGGCGAGGCTTGCCTGCCAGGCCAGCACCTGGGCCAGGACAGCGCCGGCTGCGGCGCTGAGGGTTTCGCAGGGCTCTTTGGCGGCGGGCGCGGAAAGGCTGTACAGTGCACGTGCGCCAGCACACCAGTCCTCCCATCCGGACCTGGTGCTTTTGTGCGGCTGTCGCACCTGCGCAATCTTCCGGAGAAGCACTGCCAGCTCCGCGGGCTCCGCGGGCTCCGCGGGCTCCCGGATTTTGCTTGCTTCGCCGAGCTCGACGAGCTCGTCGAGCACCTCGCCCGTGAAGACACCACGTGAGGGGCGCGGGCGCATGCTGGGGAGCATGGGCAGGCCTTGGACGTAGAGCAGCGCGCCTCAATGCCATGGCACCAAATGCCAAACTCCTCTTACAGCACCAATACAAGCACCCAAAACCGACAAGCTGCACGACTCTGCAATTGCACAAAATCTTGGATTCGGGCTCAGGTATCGGTCTCTTGGGCGCTTGGACTGCGCGAGGCCGTGCAAGCAGCCGTCGAAGCTGGGCAACGCCGAGAGCCTCGAGAAACAAAGTTAGCGAAACTTCGAGCGAAAGCTTTAAAAAAACAATAAACAACTGACTGAACGCTTCTTCTTCTGCTTCTTTTTCTTGTTGCTGCTGTTCCTGCTGCTGTTCTCGTTCCTCCTCCCCTTGTCGGTGCGGGCGTGTTTGGCTGTGGATGACAGCCCCCTTAGATACAGCAGTAGATGTTGTCTCTAGCGTTCAAGAAAAGCATGAGGAAATTGACAAACTGAATAGCAGGACATGGGGGTGTTGATTTCTTCTCTACTCTTTCTATTTCCCTTCTTGCAACGCGTGGAGTTCGGGGGCTAGCACCTGGATTTCTGACAGTTCCGCGAGAGCTGCAATGGCCAACAAGCCTGAAAGTTGCCTGCGAAAGAGCTGCGCGCCGTTGGGCTGGGCTGCTGGGCTAGGAAGCATTCGCATGCTCCGGCTGTATACTGTGCCATATGGATGCTGAGGCGTTGCCCAGCAAGCCCAGCAAGCCAAGCAAGCCAAGCAAGCCAAGCAAGCCAAACAAGCCAAGCAACATGTTCAAGACCACAAAGGCTTGCCTCGGCGCACAACTCTGGCGACGATCATCGCTTACATTGCTGACATGTTTGCACACCTGACACGCAGCTTGCAAACCGGCCTCCACAAAATCCCATGATTGATGGGGATGTGCTGTGCTTGTCGCTGAGCTTCGCTGCTCCAGTCTCGGAGGGCGAGTTGCATGTCTGCCCAATCCGCCGCCAACCTCCCGCGCAAGACCAAGACACTCACCGCGGAATATCCAAACTATCTAATAAGTGAATGCCCAAAGTCGAGAACGCCTGTCAATCCGCCCACGTAGGTTCACGAGCACCTTGCCCAATCAGAGCTGAGCACAAAGAGCACGTCAGAGAGCGAAGGAAAGCAAAAAAAAGAAGTGGCACCAGCGTGACACACCAGTACCACGATGAAACGCGACGAAGCAGGTGGTCTCTGCTTCCCTTACACTACTTTTAACCTCCCTCAGCACCTCGCCCAAGCGTTGAAGGTCGTCTGGCATGGCAGCCGCCTCTTCCGATAGCACGGGAAACACACAAATGCCAGCTCTTTCAAGACATGCGAACAAGACCAAAAGAGGTCCGTCGTACTCTCGATTACTCGTAGCACCCTCTGGTGCACCCCAGCAACACGGCCGTGTCTCTTGCCCGTTCCGCCGCTATCCGCTTGTCATCCCTGCTCAACTCCGCTCAGCCTGCCTCCAGAAGCTCCACGCCTCCGAGCGTGCCCCATTTTCCAACCATTTACAGACTGCAAGCCCTTCCAGAACGCCCAATTTGCACATGCCGAAGCTTCTTAGCAACCCTATTTACTTGGAACGCAAAAACCTGTACCCCCCAGCATCATCCCTTAGAGCAGGCATGGAGATTTGAAAGTGAAGCTGGTTGCAAAATGCGCGTTCTTAAGTCAGCTTCAAAGAAACAGTAGGAAACAAGGAAAGAAAGGAAGGTTTTCCTTGGGTCAGGCCCCCATACCCTAGCCCGAACCTAGGCGTGTAGGGTTGCGGGTTTCAAGGATGTTGGGTTTACATAAATCATTTACATATCAAACTGTATATTATACAGTCTACTATGCTTCTCGTGCTTAGGGTTTAGGGATAACATGGTTTTTGAGGCCTTCGGGCTAAAAGACCATACTCTGCAGGGCCTTCGTGCTACTTTGAGACTTGGGGGGTGAGTGCTTCTGTTGAAGTTTCTTGCCGGTTCTCTCAGAATACCTGGGTTTAGTATTGAGGGCTGAGAGGACCAAGCTGAACTGTTTAGGGGAATGCAAGCAAGCAAGCAAGCATGCTAGCAAGAAAGAAATAAAGAGAGTGAGAGAGAGCGACACAAGCACTCTTCACACCTACTTCAAAGCAACAGAAAGAGAGAGGGAGAGAGAGATGTAGGCACTATTTTCATACCTACCTCTGAGAAACAAAAAGGGGGAGACATGACATAGGGACTTTCAGACCTACTTCAGAGAAAGAAAGAGAGAGGCGTCGCCACTCAAGTGGCCCGGTTGATAATGGGCGTTCTCAGGTCGTCCAGTTGCGCAATGGGCGTTCTCATGTCAAGAATGCCGTCTCTGGCTGTAAGATCGGTGTTCTGGTTGTAAAATCGGGCTTCTTGTTGTACAATGGCTTACTCTCCCCGAGCTTCCGAGCCTCCCGGCCAGCCTTTCTGCTGCATCTGCGCGAGAAGCTGCCCTGGGCTGGCCAAAGCCCAGACCTGGCAAAGCAAAAAAGGGAAACTCAAAGGCGGAATCCGACTCTTCTCTGGTCCCCTCTGGTCCCCTCTGGTCCCCTCTGGTCCCCTCTCCTCTGCCGCTGCCAAGGCGAGGTTCTCGCCGAGCTGCAGGAGTTGCTCCTGGCCTGGGAGGTGATCCCCCTCCAGTCCCCCCGCCCGAGAGCATTACACACTTGTGACTCTGCTTTCACGTCGCAAAAGATCTGAGCACTTAATGTCACCCCTTCCGTGTTTTTCGTGCTCTTCAAAAGAATGCTCTCCAAGCACACTTCTGAGGCAGTGCACCTGCCAGCTCCTCCTGCTCCTGAGACCTCACACGAATCCACAGTGTCAAAAACATATGAGAACTCAGAGCAACAGAGCTTTGATTTAAAGACACACACACACAACAAAGGCCACTCCGCACGAAAAAAGGTTTCCTGAAAAGAGGCGAGCCCCCCGTGGCCGGGCTAAAACCTCTGAGGCCAACTCGCCGCCTCGGCCAGGTAGACCAGGGACTCCCACTTCAGGTGCTCCTCAGATCGAGAGCATGTGAATGCACTGGGAATGGGGGGATGCGGCGGATGCGGCGGAGCCTGCAGGGGTCGCAGGGAAGACTGCAGGGACGCACATGCCGCCCAGACCTTGGTGGACCATGTAAGGAGGAAGTTTCGATACTTGCTCCCGGCTCTGTTCGCTCCCGGGCCTGGCCGAGGAACAGGTGCCTCCGCATAAGACACGGGGCACAGAGCAAGGAGAGACTCGAGAAGGGGAGGGAAGAGGAGGAGTGCCGAAGAGAGGGCGACAGCATGCGACAGAATGCGAGAGTGCAACAGTGGTCTCGATCTTTCTGGCACGTGCCCGGCCTCATCCGACGGACAAAGGCTTCCAGAAACACAAGGTGTTGGCATGCTGTTTTCTGCTCTTTGCCTGCGGCTTTCTGGCTTTTTCTGCGGCTCTCTATCTTCTGCCGTCTTCTGCCGTCTGCCTTCCTGATTTGCTGGCCAGGGGCGCTCTCGTGTCTGCGCGCATACAAAGGCGATCACAACAACACAGCCCTTTTGCCCAACAGAATATCCAGCAGAATAGCAGCTTCCATTTTCGGCCGCAAAGACATGCTGAGGTTCTGGTTCGTGCAGTAACTCCTCCGCCTTGACTTGCTGGATCTTGCTGCGATCTTTGGATCTTGCCCTCACACCACATCGCGGACCATCACTCGTCCGGGTCCCGAGGGGACAACGGAGAGGACCGCATCTGAACGTGCACTTCCGGCTTGGGGATGTCGACGAGGCCCACAGTAGAGGCGAGGCGAAGGAGAAGGAGAGGCGGGCCAGGAGCGCATCGGCTGGTTCGTGGAGTTTGCCGTGAACGTCACTGGAACCTCACTGGAACCTCACTGGAACCTCACTGGAACTTCTGGAGCACCTTGCCTTCGTAGGCCAACATCAGGGCGTTCTGATGGACTTCAGGCCAGGAGTCCAACGGCTCCGGCAGGCTGAAGGGTGGCTTCCGCAGGTCGTAAGACTTGAACTTCCTCAAACTCGTGGGCTCCATGGCCGCGAAAGCCGAGGACCCGCCCAAATCTTCCAGGTCCTCGTTCTCCGAGTCGGGCCTGAAATACTGGAAAAAATTGGAAGGGGGAGGAGAGCCAGCTTCTCTGAGCATGTCCGTGTCGAGAGAAGCCGAGTGGCCAAGATGAGAGAATCACGAAGTCCGGCTTTGCCAGGCGCAGGTTGGAAAGCAGCGTCCAGGCCTCAGGGCATCACTCGTCATTGCAAGCACCACGAACATGATGCTGTACCAGACACAATGCTGGTGGGGGCTGCCACTCTGGCTTACTCGGCTGCTCGAGTGCTACTCGAGTGCACACAGAAGGATAGGACCCACGCATCCTTCAGACTCAGGTGCTGAAAGACCTCAAGTCGGTCTGCACTACAAACCCTCCAGCACACACGAGCCAGGATGGGCGGCGCACATGCCGCACCATCGCCACAGAGTAGCCTTGCGGCAAGGGGTCCTCGGGCATTGCTTTCACGCGAATGTCATGCAAATGCTTCAACGAGGTCTTCTGCGCCACGTGGCTGCTTCCCAAGAAGCTGCACCCCAACGGAATCCCTACCTGACTTTTTGCTCAACAACGCCCCACAGATCGAGGTCTGAGCCTCGCCAATTGCACCCGAGACGGCTTTGAAATGGATGGTTGGAGTGGGAGATAAAGTCAAGTTGAGGAGTGCAGGCGACCACAAATGGAAAAGCTGAAGTCTGCATTCTTTGTTCATTCTGTGCTTGCACTACTCTATGCTTTGGGGGAGCACTCTCTGCGGACTTGTTGAACTCCTTCCCCTTCACACGCTAGCACGCTATGCCGCGGCGCCTCCACGCCATCGGCCACCTCAAACTGGAGGAAGCTGCCACTGTGTGTGGCGCGTAGGTGCCTTAGAGTTGCTCATCTTTGGTTTTTGAAAAAGAAAAAAAAGAAGGGAAGGGACAAAAAAGTCCGACACATCTCTGTGGAGAGCAGAAAGAGCATTCCGCAGCCATGAAAGCACAGCAACTACCTCTCTCCCTCTTTGCTCCTTGGGCTTCCCGACTGGATCGGCTGCCAGGCGATGTCCAGGCCCAGGTAACGGAAGTCGCCGAGCCGCCCAGAGCCTTGGGCGGCCTGGAGTGCCTCCGGCACCCACCTGGAGAAAGTCAGGGAAGAGTCCTCTTCTTCTGTTGAGGCATGGGGGCCTCTCTCTCTCTCGCTCTTCCTCTGTGGCCCGCGGCTCGCCCCAGCCGCAGCCCACGTCCAGAAGGGAGCGCGCGCCGCCTTCGTAGGGCTTCTGTTGCGGTAACGAGCGGAATGGGAGAAACAAGCACAAAATTCGCAGAGTCAGAGCCCCCGGCCTGGTTGTATCGTGCTTAGGAAGTCTACCAGGCGCATTGCGATCTCCATCGTGTGCCGCTTGGAAGAGCCGGATCCTGACCTGTCAACGACACGAACTGTGATGCGCACCGATGTACACCAAGCACACCTTTCGCCTTGAGCAAGCTCCCGCACTGTTCTGCACTCTACCGGGCCTTCCCCACCAACCAGCCGAGTGGATCTCCTCGAAAGCCAAGCGGCGGAAAGAAGCCAGGCGCCGAAGCTGAGACTTAGCTCAAGAAGAGGTCGACAATTGGAGGTCTCTTGGTTTTTCTTCTTCTTCGTCTTCTCATGTTCTTTGCCATTTTGGATCTCTCTCTCTCTTGGTCAGAGTTCATCCCTTTGTCAAGGAGCGTGAAGGTTCTCCAAGGAGCTCTTCACCAGTGCCAAGCGGTTTTGGAGGCCGTTGCCTCGGCGCTTGGCGCGGTCGCCCCAGCTGGCCACCGCCAGGAGGGCCATCTCGAAGACCCATTGGGCTGAGACGGCCCGCCGCACCAGGCCCAGCAAGCCGAACCTGCCCCACAACTTCGGCGACCGTGTTTGCTTTGGTTCCAAAGCCAGAGCATCATACCGTCATACGCACCACGCCGATCGTGAGGAAATTACACATCAGGATGCAATTTGGCAGGCTTGATCGCAGCTCACTCTTTGCTGCGCACATCTTTGCCCCGAACAGTCAAGTTCTCTTACTCCTGACGTAGCCACCGATCTCAGGCACGATCTCAGCTGCCTGGCCAACTCCGGCTCGGCGTCCACAGCATGCCTGCCTCACAGAAGCAAAGAGGCTCTTCAACTTAGACTTTTCTGAGAGCGGGGCCGAGACCCCATTTTGCCTTCGGATGGACCAAATTGCATTCCGACGGATTCTGCCAAAAGGCCTTGCTCCTGTCCGCAAAAGCAATGCCAAACTTGGCAATCACACAAACAAACAATCATAAACACACACACACACACACACAGACACAAAACTTGTCGATGTTGCTGGTTCACTTCAGTCAAAGACGAATTTATGCATATGCTTTTGAAAACACTCATAATCGCGATCGTGCTTGTAGCCAGCTCAGAATATTGAATTGCAAGAAGTATGATATGATTGCGAGCATCCTTATCTCAATGCCTTGACAGTGTGTGAGCAATTAATCGGATTCAGACTGGATTCAGACTGAAGACACTGAAGACACGTGAAAAGCGCGGTCAGGGAAAGTGAACCTGACACAGCTACTTTCAAGGGCCTTCTAATGTATTCGCGAGTGCTCAGCGCGAAACTCCTCATGCCTGCGCTGGTACACCTACGCTAACCCGGATTTTCGCTTCACTCTGCAGAAATTTGATGCGCATGAGACTTCACTGACTGCACACTGACTACACTGCTCCTTCTCCAACTCCTCCTGATCCAGCCGTGCGACCTTTGCTGACAGCGATGCTGTCTGCCATACGACTGAGACGGATTCATGTGCCTCAAAGAAAAGCAGCGTCTTACTCTCCCCTAGCTCTTGGAGGAATCCCGAGACCTCAGCTTGGCCACGGGCGCTCTCCAGCGTCTTCACAAGATCCTCGTCGGGAGTGGGCTGCGCCACGGTGTCGCTGCACAGCTCTGCGGTGCGATGGAGGAGGTGGCTGAGCTCTTCCACGCCTCAAGATACAAAAACGCGAGCGAGAGATACTGAGCCTTCACAAGAACAGCACTCATGGCACTCATGATAACGTGAGAGTATTCACATGTATTCACACCATCGGCAGACCCGAACCATCAACACAACACAATATTCTCGCCCCCCACAATTATAAAACCACCCACTTTTTTTAGGGAGATGATAAGTTTAAGGGGGGGGGAGTTTAGAGCTTGCTGGCTGCAGGGAGATGCTCCAGGTTGCTACCAGGATTTAGGCGAATGCAATTGAGGAGGCCCCTGGCCGAAAAGATTGATCAACCCGGGGAGGGGGGTTAATAATGCGAAGTCAACATTATTATGAGAGCGCGCAGTAATATCATTGTAGGAACGTACGAACGAAACGGGCGCTCTGTGTATTCTCTTTTATGCGTGGCATCGCCTGTGTTTTCTTCTGCGAGCCTCCCTGAACGACCCGTTGATACGTACGACACGTACGACACAGTTCGTACAGTTCGTCCGGCCTTCGAGCCTTGCATTCGGAAACCTCTCAAATTGGACCTGTCCTCGTTGCGAGGCTACGAAGCCTCGTCCGTTTGCGCCGTGTTTCGCGAGGCCACGCAAGCTAATAAATTCTAGCTGTGGCAAGACCTAGTGTTACACTGTGTTGCACTGCTACACCTTGACCTACAAGACTTGGCGTGCCCAGCACGGCGTCGAAAAAAGGGACAAAGGCGACTCTGGTAAGAGGGGCCTATCTGGACCAATGCGCAGCTTTCCGAAACTCGTTGGGCAGTGGCCGTCTGCTTCCGAGCGTCGACTGATGTTAGGGGCGGCAGCGAACTGCCTGCAACAAAACATCGAGAAAGTAACCGATCTGCAGGTTCTCACGAAGGAGGCCCTCGAGCCTGCGTTGCAGGTGCTGGAAGACCTCCTGAGGCCGTCCACTGACCAGCCACTCCGACAGCCAGCCTCCGACGAAGCCCCAATGTCATTCGACGAAGCGCAGCGCGACTGGCCTTCCAAGGTGTCGAAGCTGCGAACCTAAGCACTCAACCGCTGCGTTGCCAGGCGTCACACGTGATCTAACAAAATGCCAGGCTAGGTGCCACGCCAAAAGCTCGCAGGGGTCGGGGCCATTAATCACCCAGGCCCCGCGAATCCCCATGCACCAGTCCAGAGCGGTCTCTCTGGAGAGTTCACTTGCCTGCGCTCAAAGTAAGTGCTGAAAAGACAATGAAAGAATGAAGAAGCCTCCGCTTCACCGCAGATGAGGCGTTCAGCAGATGTCGGTGCAGCATGTATCGGCAGTGCCTCCGCAATGCTTCTCATCTCCTTCGTGTCTGCCAAGAGTTCCGCGAGCTTGTCGCCCAGCAGTCCCTGGCCGTCGAAGGACTCGCCTGGCCAAGCGTTGGTTTCGCTGCGGAATGTTGCCGCCCAAGCTCACCCGGGTTTGCCCCTGGCTCCTGCAAAGGTAGAAGCCCGGACATTGCCAGCCGGATGCCTGCGAAGTTGCCGTCGCAAGGCGTGGGGAGGACACTGGTTGGCTCCGAGTTGTTGCCTCTGCCGGGTTTCCTGCAAGGCCTGCTGAAGGCAGGCTGCGAAGTTTGGAAGTCCGGAAAGGAGCCCCAACAGCACTGCCGCCTGGAATGTGAGGGCTCAAGCCACAGCAACAGCAGCAGCAGCAGCAGCAGCAGCAGCAGCAGCAGCAGCAGCAGCAGCAGCAGCAGCAGCAGCAGCAGCAGCAGCAGCAGCAGCAGCAGCAGCAGCAGCGACAGCAACTGCAACAACAACACCATCATCCACCAACAACCAACAACCAGCAGACATCAAACTACAAACAACAGACAACAGCAACAGCAATGGGCAACGTGGCGTCTAACGGCAACTGACATACATCTGCCAATGGTGTACACAGGGTCGTGTCAATTTGGCTTGGCTGACATCTTTACCATCAAAGCGCTCCCTCCCCTCGCCTGCTTCAGCACCTGTCATGTCAAGCGTGATGTCAAGATCATCATTGAATGCCCATATTTGGAAAAGCTAGGGGCAGCTGGTACACATTGGAGAAAGTTTGCATCTTTGCGTCTTGCACGAATCAGGCTTCCGAGGGCTTCACGATCTCGAGGTTCACGGCCATCTGCCGGCTCTGGCTGGTCAACTCCTCAAAGAGAGGAGAGCAGAACAGAAGAGCAGCCCTCAGCCTGGCATTTTGTGCTGCTTGTTTGTCAGGAAATATGAATATTCTGCTCCTTCTCCAAGTTCTCAAGGCTCTCTTGCAGGTCCTTCCGAGCGACGCGCGCGCACGTACTTCATTCCGAGCAAGTGTTGCAAAAACAGCCACCATTTCGATCGTCTGCACTGTGTCCTTGAACCTGAAGCCACAAACAGCTTGAGATTGGCAGCTCTTGACCAAACGCGGACAATTCTCCATTTATGTTGCATAGAACAACACCATGTGCGAGCAACCTGCCCACTTCTGTATTATCGTGTGCCTTTGAACGCAGTTTTCGCTTTACGGCCGGGTTTCAGCAAGCCTTGCCCAGCCTGTTTTTGTTGAACACCCGACATGCCACAGGGGGCCGGTTCTAAAAGAGCACAAAGTGATTGCTATGCACGCCGCCGAATGTCAAACGACACCCTTTTCATTCCAAGCCGTCAGCTACGCAAGATTGTTTTGCGATCCCTACGAGCAGCGAAAACTGTGCCAAACATGGCCGGCAAATGCCCTGGAGCGGCTCTGTTGCTGGAGCTGGCCGCTGCCGCAACCTTGTCACTCTGTCCACGGCTGGCACCGTGGAGCCCAAATACCCGGGACTTCACATAAGAAGTGCAGCCCTGAGATCTGCTGTTGCCCCTTGTCAAAGTGCTGTCCCGAGGGCTCTACTGCTCGCCTGCTGTGCGGGCATGTTCACATATGTTGTGCACATATGTGCACCTTTGGGCTTTGACCGTCTATTGACCCACTGGAGGAGAAAAAGAAAAAACGCAGCAGGTCCTTCCAATCCTCTTTGAAGGTGTTGTAGAGATTCTGGACACCCGTCAGGACCATGCCTCGCAATCTGACATTCTGGCGCTGCTCTTTCTTTCTCGGAAAGCCTCTCTGTCTCTGTTGTCTTGGTCTCTCTCTCTCTGCCTTTGACTCTCTCCCCCTCTCTGTGTGCCTCTTGCCTCTGTCTCGGTCGGCTGGCCTATGGATGTGAGAGACGTGGCCTCTGCTGCTTGCAGGAAGGCCGCGCCCTCCGGCCAACGACTGAGCACAACCTGCGCCCTGAGGGAAGGAGGAAACATGCCGACAGGGACGACAGGAGCCAAGGGGACTGAGTGACGGGGTGCGCCGAGCCGCTGCAGCTCCTCCAGGGTGGCTGCCGCCCAGACCTGCAATGGAAATCGAAGCAGAAAAGAAAGAGGAACGAGAGAGAAAGAGAGAGAGAGTGAGAGAGAAAGAATGGAGAAGGGGGAGTAGACGGGCGTGCCAAAAGCAGACCGGAAACAGAGGTCGCTGCTCGGCGCTGTGAGCGCAGGAGCCGGTCGCGCAGGGCCGTCAGCTCCGTGTGGAGCGCCCGCTCCAGCGCCTCCCGGGCCACGGCCTTTCCGGTGGCAAAAAAAGCACATCTTTCTATCCGACTCGATGCTCTCTCTACATATATGTCTCTGCGTCTTTTCACTCTGCAAAGCTTCTTCCCTCCTCTCTCGCTCTCTCTCTCTCTCTCTCTCTCTCTCTCTGTCTCTCTCTCTCTCTCTCTCTCTCTCTCTCTCTTTCTTCTTTCAACTGCCCACTAGGCTTAACCACACAGTCGGACCTCTCCTCCCGCCGGGAGTGGGGCTTGCGGGCTTCCGAAAAAAAAAACATGCATCCCATCGCTTGGCAAAGCGTTCGTATGCCCCTCGACTTGGAGTCGTCTTCTTGCAAGATCCCAATCAGCTTCGAAGGGGTGGAGTCGTCTTCCATCCGGATGTCGATACGACCGGTTCAAAGTTGCTGCACATTGCTGCACTAGTGACATTGTGTTTGACCGCGTGGGCTCAGGATAGGTGTCTGAGAAAGAACACAGACAGTAGCTGTTTCATGGGATGTCAGCTAAACTGAGCGTGGGAGATGCTCCTTGTCAAGTTGTGCGGTTTACACTTGATGCGCTTGTAATTTACAGGTTTGTGAAGTCACATCTTCGTTGTTGTCATGTGTCCTGGCGTCTCACCTGGCGACATAAACATATGCTATATATCAAGGGAGAAGCTGCTGAGACTGCTTGGTCTGAATTGTCCAAACCTTTCTCCAAGAACTAGGGGGCTTCAAGCGACACACGAGAGCATTACATGCAACCTACCACTCACACACACACACTCTCTCTCTCTCGCTCTCCCTCTCTCTCTCACTCATTCACACTCTCTCACACTCTCTCTCACTCTCACACTCACTCTCTCTCCTCGCTCTCGCTCTGGCTCTGCTCGACTCTTCTCAGTTCCTTCTTTGTCGGCTTTCTCCTTTTGCTTTTCCTTGCTGGGGCCCCACCGCCGCACCGCTCCTCCGCGGCGGAGCGCCGGCTCTCCCGGGCCAGGTGCCGCTGCAGCCGCTGCCGCTGCTGCCGCTGCTGCCGCTGCTGCCTCTCAGAGTCGCTTTTGGATCAACAGAACATAACAGACATAACAGAACAGATCAACTTCAGAACAACTTCAGAACCAGAGAACACAACTTCGGAACTGAATAACGTTGCACGGTTACTTGCATTTCAGTTGCATTCACTTGCATTGCAATCAACAAGAGAGCTCATCAAGAACCGTGCAACACCAGCCGCGCATGCAAAAGGTCAGCTCTTCTGACCCGACGGCGACATAAACAGTCCCTCCATCCGCGAAAGGCCTACCTGCACTTTCTGGGAGCAACCTGAGGAGAGAACACAATTCGGGGTGGGATGCATCTGATGCACCGCGTTAGAGAATGCACGTTCTTCCCCGAACCCGCCGGGAAAGCCGTTGAGGTGACGCACTTCTTAGACGAAAATCCTCTCGTCGTCCGACGTAGCTTTCCCGAGTTTTCCTTTGTGTCACGTACCGACCACGAACATGGGCACGCCAGGTGCGTGGGGATCGGGGCACCACGTTTCCTCATCCTCTGCAGAAGAACAACAACACATCTTTCTCTCTCTCTCTCTCTCTCTCTCTCTTGTTCAGAGGCTCCCCAACTGAGAACGCCTTGAACTTGCGGAATGGCCTGGATGGGTCTTGCACTCGCCGCACGATGATGTGTGAGAAACTGTGAGACAGGGTGCATTTTTGAGCTTCAACCTGAAGACATCACCTTAGCGACTTCGAGCACCAGGCTGTCAACCGGCTGGCTGGCCAGGGCAACCTCGCAAGAGCTCTGTTGTGGGACATGAGGCGCTCCACATATACGTACACTGCTTTAAACACATACTCTCTGTCTTCCATCTGGCACGTCTGCTTCTTGTCGTTGCCCTTCTTGCTGCTCCTTCAAAGTATCTCCTCTCGCCTCTGCTTCTACTAAATGGCAACCTTGATGTGTAAACGGCTCTCGACATGATAAATCGCAAGAAGGGCCCCTTCTTAGTTTTTGCATGCTCTCCATATCCCAAATCGCAAGTCCCTAGCTTCCTCTCTTTCTCATCTCTCCTTCTTTACACCGTTCGTTCTCATTCGTCGTTGTTTATCATATCCTTCTCCCTCGTCTTTCCCTACCTTTTAGCACCGCCCGAAGGCGAGCTCGCTGGTCTGAGGGATCGGTTGTACAAGCAACAGACTGCCACGACCCAAAAATGCTGGGAGACTGTATTGGCCGGCTCCCAGGACCCTCCGAGGCATGTGTGCTGTGAAAGCGTGAGGCTACACGCTCTCGCTCTGGCTCTCTCTCTCTCTCTCTCTCTTCCTGTCTCTCTCCCTCTCTCGGTCACTCTCTCCTTCCCTTTTGTTCTTCCTCGTGCATCGTCCATTTTAATTCTAAATGGTAAAGGGAAAAACAAAGGAAGGTAGAGAGAAAGAAGAGGGCAAGACAAAGGAGAGGGAGAGAGGTATGAAATCAAAGACCACCGGTGGGAAAGGGAATGGAAAAGGGAATTTGTAGAAAAAGAATGTTGAGAGGCTCGAATAGATGACCTCTGGAGATATAGAGGCTCGAACGGATGATGTCTCAAAACATACAGGCACGAATTGACGAGCTCTCGACATACAGCGGCTCGAATAGGGAAACTCTCTAAATACAGAAGCTCGAACACATGAACTCTCAAAATAGTTGGAGTGGATGCCGCAGTGTATCTCAAAACACAGGCCTGTGCACATCAATGCATGTCAACAGCTGAAGATGAATGGACATCTCGATGCATCTCCACGTCTATGATCCTACGGTGATAAGCTCATGTGACTTACATCTGAGACGAAGCCTTATGGCAAACACGACAGCTTTGTGACCGGGGATCTTGCCGAGGCCGCGCTCAGAAGCCTCGGGAATTCGGAATCAGCGCAGGTAACGAGCAATGACAAGTACATGACAAGTACAGACGGCACAATGAGACAGCTTCGCAATGCCTGGCTAGGGCTTGGCTAGGGCTTGGGCAGCACGGCAGCCATGGCTACCATGGCTCGGGCTGGCAGGCAAGCACCAGCCGCATCGCATAGAGTCGGGGGATGCGCGAACTATGGAACAAGCTGCGGAATGGGCACAAGCAACGGCGTTTTCTATTGTTGGGTGTCGCTGCATCTTGAGCTCGCTTTGACTGCAGGCTAGTCCTCTCAGGCACGGCAGGAACAATGTGGAAACCAAACAACGGTCGGGCTTTTTGTGTCCACGCGCACCATGCATTCCGCCTCAGGTGCCCGGACCAGGGATAAGCTTGGCGCAGCTGCTGTTTGTCAGTATGCGGCCACTGGGGTCGGGCTCCTGCGCATGCTTCAAGCAACAGGAGCAAGGTTCCAACATCTACATTCACATCCCATGCCAGGCCTGTCCGCTCTGAAGAAGGGGTTCTTCACCTGCAAATGACTAGTACTGAAGACGTATTGAATGAGCATTTAAGTCACTTTGGCAGCTTCAATCGTTTTCAATCCCCAGCCGAGACCGCGGCCGGGTTGGGATTCTTCACGGGCCCAGGAGGATCCGGAGAAGGCGTTCTCTCCTTTTTGTTCTTGAGCATCATCATGCCAGGTCCTGAAGACCAAGGAGGAGAGAGCAAGAGGGAGCAGACTAGCGAAGCGGAAGCAGCTGCTTGGGCTCCTCCAGAGAACTCGCTGACGCGCTCCTCCCGGCGCCGGTCCCGCGCACGCGATCGGCTGCGGGATCGGCCGCCGCGGCCCATCTCCCTTTCTTTTAGAGAGAACAAACTTGAGCACATTAAAGAAGAGGGAGGGAGACGAGAAGAACAGAGAGAGAGGGGCGAGAGAGAGAGAGAGAGAGACAATGAGTCCTTGTTCTCTCTCTCTTTCTCTCTTTCTCTCGCTTTCTCTCTTTCTCTCTTTCTCTCTTTCTCTCTTTCTCTCGCTTTCTCTCTTTCTCTCTTTCTCTCTTTCTCTCTTTCTCTCTTTCTCTCTTTCTCTCTTTCTCTCTTTCTCTCTTTCTCCTTTCTCTCTTTCTCTCGCTCTCTCTCTCTCTCTCTCTCCCTCTCTCTCTCTCTCTCTCTCTGTCTCTCTCTTCGTCTCTCCGTCCCTGCCCCTTTGCTTCCCATCCCACTTTCGACACAGCATGTGCCTGACCAGTCGCCGAGGGCTCGGGCTCTTCGGGTCATTGCGAGAAGGGAAATTGGCCCGAGGCACCTAGCACAAGCAGCAGACAACGCCACTTGCCCCACAACATCCCAGGACATGGCAAGCGACAAAATGCGACAAAGTCCGGTCGCGTCCTCACTTTGGACCTCTTCGAGCCTTATAAGCCTCCAGAAGAGCCTCCACTTTAGACCTCCTTAAACATCTGAGGAGTCTTGAGAATCGGGCATCTGAAGGGCTTCTCTTCCGTCGCGGTGGGCTCGGGCCTCGAAGGAGAGCCGCAACAAAGAACACATCAGGAAACGAGTGGAACGAGTGGAACGAGTGCACCGAACAGCCGTTCAAAGACCGGAAACCCCCGCAAACTGGGCCACCAGCGGCGTCGCTCCGGGCTCCGGCGCACGGGGGACCGGGCACGGTTCCGGCCATAAAGGCGAGGGGGACTGCGGCTGCGCGGCCGCCTCTCCAAAGATCGAAGCATATAAGCAGGAAAGAGGGCACGAAATGGCACGTGTCACTGTGTTGACGGGGCCCTCTACTGCAGCCATGGCGTCTCTCCGACGCATCATCGCACAGCATCGCACACCATCTTGTAGCAACGTTCCCGAAAACATCTCAGCGAAAACTCTCAGCGCGGACTCCGCGATGCCTGGGTGGGCCAGAGTTCGAGATCGCCATCGGACCTTCAGCGATGTGCAAAGCGTTGAGTGCAAAGCGTGGAGTGCAACTCTGGACGACATCTGTGACTGTTCAACGAAAGTCCCAGGGTGCATGGCCATCGTTTCCCTTGGGTCCGCCGGCTGGACCCACCCCAACCTCAGAGAAACAGAGGTTTGGACACCCCCAAAAGACCCCCCAGCAGGGAAGTGGGAAGAAAATCTGCCGATCTGGCTGGGAAGCCATCAACGAAGACCTGGCTGGCCTTCAATGCGGCGTAGGCTCGGTCCTAGGCACACGGCGATACAGGGTGTGCGGAGAAGTCCGGCTTGTGCCCAAATCAACAAAGGCTTGGCTTGCAGCAGCGGCTTCTTGCGTCGCGAAGCGTACATTCACAAAGTCCTGCAGCACTCTTGCCCTCTTTGCCCGGGGTAACACATGGAATCGCAACTGTGCAACTGCTGTCCTCACCGGGAATGCCAGAATAGGGTGGCTTGTGACAGTGAATGACCTGCTGTCGTGAATTACATGCACTGTGCTGTTCGCAGGTGCGCAACGCGCCTCTCCGAACTGCGCCATCGCTCTGGTCATTCCGACTCGACTGTGCTGGGGCATGATGCCTTGCTAGTGCAGCATTATCGACATGACGTAACATACGTAAAGCATGAACTCTCACCTCCGGTGCCCAATTGCGTAAGGCGGTGACCCGTGGTGATACGCACCAGCGCCGACATCGTCAGAGAAGCCTGGCCACATCGTTCCAAAAGAATTTTGTGGTGTCCAGATGCAATTTGACTACTGAGTTTGCATTGTCCAGAGTTAGACGCAAAAACTATCACCCCCCAGTGAAACCTCGCGTGTTTGCCGTAGAGTCTGTAGAGGCTTCAGAAGACTAACGGGAGGCCATTTGGAAGCCCTCCACCTCCGTCGTTCTGAAAACTGTAGGCTCTGGCTTCAGGACGCTTTCGGAACGCAGTCGTGCCGCGCAGCGAAAACTACTGTTTCTTTGCATGCACAGACCGGACAAGGAACTCAGGTCACCAAGCTCAACACACTAGCATCTACAGTAATCTCCAGCTGCAAGCATGCCACCTGACTTTCAAGTAGAGGCTGTAGGGAAGAGTGCATCTTCGCGCACACCTTTTGGAAAGACCCCGAACAAGAAACCTTGAAAATTGCGGGGTCCAAACAAAATCCAGAATTGTCATTTTGCCGCCTCTTTATCATGTTTACAAGTCGATCGCCACATGCGTTGTTGGACCCAAAAAACGCAATTGGCTTGTTTCGGGAAGCAAATTCAAGCCAAGCTTGTTTTTGGTATCCGCTTCTTTCGCCACCGTGTAAGGGGTGTCTTTCTCAACTGGGGGGGGGTGGGGTCGGGGGGGAACCCCGACAGGACCACGTGCGGAACACCTCGTGACTACTGCTGCCCCCAACCTCACAACCTCCCGCCACAATACCCGAAAACATGCGTGCTTGTCTTCTTTGTCTTCTGTCTTCTCTGCGCGCCTGCAACGAAAACTTTACTCCCCGGAGCCTGCCGCTTGAGTTCCTTGAGTCGTCTTTCTGCCCATTCGCGAGGGCGCCTGAACTTTTCTTGCTGCAGCTCCTTCGCTGTCCCTCAACACTCAGTGCCTGCGGCTGTGTGGAGGGCCGGGGGGGCAATCCCACTGCAAGAGCCGCTGCGGGCTTGAGCGGCGAACAGTTGAATGGCGATAATGGAGAGAGCTCAGAGAGCTCCATATGTCCAATATCTCACAGCTGTAAAGCTAACTTGGGACTTCTTGCTTGAAATTCTGGGATTGTTTATAAAAGGTTTGGCTTTTGTCCCGAAAGCTAATTCTCTATATCTTAATCGGAAAAACTTCTACAGCATTTTCTCGATATCTTAATGGGAAAACCTCGAATTTCTGTAGACTTCATAGGAAAACCTCCACTTAGCCATATGCCCATCGGAAAAACGCTCTTCTGGACACGGGAAACCTCGATTCTCCATATGTTCATAGAAAGACCTTCATGTTCTGTATATCTTTTCGGAAAACCTCATTTTTTTCTTGTTATAGTCCGAAACCTTAATTTTCCTCTACATGGTCATAGGAAAACCTAAAACTTCTTTGTGTTGAGTAGGGGAAAACTTCCATTTTCTCTACACTTCAACTTTTTTTCCTCTGCTTTCATGGGGGAACCTCTGCTTCTCTTGTATTCTTGCGGGTTCTCTACATTCCCTCTACACGTATAGCAGACAGAAAGCAAAAACGACAGAAAGAAAAAACACAACGCTTGCATGACGGTTTGGAAAGGATCGTGTGTTATTGACGCAAGTCCTCTTCATGGACGGTAAGAGTGTGTTTTTGTTGTGGAGGCTTTTTTGTTGTGGAGGCCTTTTTGCTGTGGAGGCCTGCTGCGTCTTGTTTTGTGCAGTGGCCGGGCGCTTTTGTTCTTGTGAAGGCCAGGCGCCATTTTGTTTGCTGTGGAGGCCCGGAGGCTTCTTGGCTGTGGAGGCTTGACGCGCTTCTTGCTGTGGAAGCTGGGTGCATTCTTTTTGCTGTGGAGGCTAGGTGCGTTTTCATTGCTGTGGAGGCCTGGCGCGGCCTTTCCATTTTACTGTGGAGCGGCTTAAAGAAGCGGTGGAGTTGGTTTGGGGGTGGGGGGCGCTTGCCAACACAATGCTCGCATGATGAATTTCCTTTTGACTCATGTGCTTTGAAGCAAGCATGCAGGGCTGCAAAAAGCCCTCGCACGTTCTTGATTTCAAAACGACTTATATGCTTTGAAGCGAGCTTGCACGCCTTTAAAAGACAAACGGATGGCTTGGGGGGCCCCCCCCGACTTGCAAACACCTGCCTTCCTGCCTTCCTGCCTTCCTGCCTTCCTGCCTTCCTGCCTTCCTGCCTTCCTGCCTTCCTGCCTTCCTGCCTTCCTGCCTTCCTGCCTTCCTGCCTTCCTGCCTTCCTGCCTTCCTGCCTTCCTGCCTTCCTGCCTTCCTGCCTTCCTGCCTTCGCCTGTCCGTGGTCGCTTGCCTAAACAACAGAATGATGCTTCAACAGAAAAGAAGTTGCCTAATGAAATATAAATGCATTCCTATTGATGTATGGAGAAAAGGTCTTCCGCATGGACTATCTAGTTAAAATGGAGGCTTTCCAATAAACACATAGACAAAATTGAGGTTTTCCTAATAGAATATGAACAGAACAGAGGATATAGAGAAAATTCAGGTTTTCCGAGTAAGTACAGACAATTAGCAAAAGGGACAAGAGCCAAACTCCACCGCAAACTCCAACTAAGAACAGAAACACCTCTCTAGCCTCTTTGCCACTCCTGTCACTAGTGCAAAGGCAAAAAGGGAAAATGAAAACCACAGAGAATGGTCGAGGAAGTGCTTGAAGGTTAATGAAAGTGTGAAAACCTCACATGCTGCCTGGCACAGCTAATTTCGGAGCATACATCTTGGCCTTGCTGCGCAACTACACGCATGTTTTGCCGCTGGGGCCCATACAAGTCATTTTGCCGGCGTGGATCCCATACAAGAAACATAAGAAACCATCTGCAAGAACATTCCAAAACCGTCCCAAGAGCAGTCGCTACACCGAAACACGCCGAGACTACTTGAACGGGCCAACCGACGCGACTCATGCCCAACATACTTAAGGCAAGGACAACCCGACAATCCAACAACCAGGCCGCTCTGTCTCCGAGAGACACTGCAAGTGATTGTAAGCGTGAGCCACTCTCGGCACCGATCTCAAACACCATCAACTCAAGCACTTCAAGCACTTCAAGCACTTCAAGCACTTCAAGCGCACCCTTTTCTTGCTTTCAAGAGACACGGTCCAGTAGGTCCAGCATATCTCAAAAGCGGAAGGTGGCTGCTGAGTTTGCAGGCTGAATCATCCGAATCGCCTCCTTTGGGGGGTTCTGTTGAGATGATGATTGTGAGGCACAGACATTGATGCAAAAGGAGGTTCTGCAAAGCGGCGCGCCTTGGAGACTGGTTCCAGGCCTTTCGCGTCTCACCTCCGTTGCAGGCTTTGGTGCTTCACACGCCGTGAGGCACAGATATCGATTTCGGATCAAAAGCCCGCAACCTCGAAAGGGTCTCCAAGCACGTTTGTGTAAAGCTGTGCCGAGACTCAGCCAGTGACAGTGAGCGCAGTTAATGCAGGCTCAAGTACAGTGTAGTGGTGTGTCACCTTCGATGTCAGCAACAGGGGCGATGGAGCCACGCTGAGTCACTGGAGCCCCAGCCACAGCCACGAAGCTCTGAGCTCCGCTGGCTCCGCTGACCCGAAGTCCCGCTGGAAGTGCCTTGACTACCGCCTCAGCGCAGTCGACATCGACTCACATCTACATCCGCCGCCACGTGCAATTTCGCAAACAAGAGACTTCAGCAGGCTGAATGTCTGCCTAAAGGCCGCTTAGAGGCCACAAAGCTGCAAAGGCGCCAGGCGCGCAGTGCGTGACAGCTGCAAAGGCTCATGCGCTAGATTGGCGTGTGCAACACCTGGAAGCTCAGCAGCCCATGTTAGGCGCCAAAGCTGTGGTATCTTTCCCCGTTTCGTTGCAAATGTGCGGGAATTTGAGCATAGTACAGGATTTGGGGCGAGGCTGATGCATGAGAGAGATCGCGTGGAGGCAAGCCGGTCATCATCTGCGACACTGGACATAGCACCTAGCCGGCGACGCAGCGGATGCAGCGACTGCACTGCCTTGGCGGCCTTGGCCGTCTTGGCCATGACACCAGCTGTCACTAGCTTCGCATGGGAGGCTGGAGGTGGAGGTGTGGTCTGCCTTATCGCCCCACAATTTATGCTCTGGTTGGCACCACCACCACCCCTACCACCTGCAGCTCAAAAGCTCATGAGGCTTCTATGCTTTTGTCGCTCACCAGGTTCTCCTGCCGCATCGGGCTTGAAACCATCAAAGCCATCAAAGTCATCAGGAGCTGTCATCGGGGGATGCCTCGGGCAACTTCTTGACAATGGCAGTTTCTGACATTGTGGACCTGAGCGGAGGCACTGGGTCAGGACGGCTCAAGCGCACATTGATTTGCACTGTCGCTGCGTAGCGCAGGGCTCATCAGCTTCACGAGCCACGAATGTTTGCGGGGATTCTGATGGCGTGGGCGTCGTCCCCCGCCTGAAGACAACCACTGGCTTTACCGGCTTCTTGCTTTGTTTGCTTTGTTCACGCACCTCTCGGATGAGCTCAAAGAGCAGGGCCATCATTGTGCATGGTTGGCTGGGAACTTCAGAGGCCCTTTGCTTGCTAGTGAGTTTCTGTACTGTGTGCGCTGATTGAACTGGCCAAACAGCCAGCCAGCCCTGCCGGAAGTTGCGGAGCTACAGAAGCGGCTGCTGACAGCAGCGTCAGCTGCGTAGGCTGCACAAGCTGCGAGGTCGACAGGCGCTTTCCTGTTTGTGGCCGGTGGCAACCGCGAACACAACCGGCCCGGAACCTCAGCGTTGTCGATTCTTGCTCGGAAGGCCAAGAAGGCGTTGGCACCGTTGGCATGTACGCAATGTACGCCGGCACCTGCAAGCCTTGACCGCAACTGCCGAGCTTGTGCCTGCCTGCACACACGAAGCACCAGGAATATGGAGATGGTGGCCGAGACAACAGACCAAGCCGGCATTTGGGACTTTCCTGCAAAATCCCCTCTGAGCTAAGCTGCCAGAGTCACACCCACCAGGTGCCGAAATGTGCCGACATGTGTTGGGATTGGTGCTTGGATCTGTCACATGCAGAGAAGTCAGGAAGCGCAGGCCCAGCAGCTCAACGGCCAAAGGGGCATCCATGAGGGACAAGGCACACTCGGTACACCCCAGCGCATGCGTGATACGTTTCAGCGGCCTACGGCCACAGTATTTGACACACAATCTGCTACCCAAGTTCGATTTCAAGCTGTCTGCACACCTATGCCGGCCACGCAGCGACAGCGTGCGCTACCTGTCAAATGCAGGTCTCTTCAGCCTGGACCGACCTGCAGCGCCGTGACACAAAACAAAATGGAAGGGAGGGCTGCGAGGAGGACCTCCTCGCGCCCGAGCCCGATGTGCCGAGATTGGCTCCGGCACATGCAGAGATGTCAGGAAGCGCAGGCCCAGGTGCTCAACGGCGAAAGCGGCATCCATCAGGGGCGAGGCAGACTCGGCAGTCCCCAGCGCATGCGTGCTGCATCTCCGCGGAGGTCGCGGACGACAGCTGCCAATGTGCGCAGAGCGCTTGGGGTCTCGCGGCGTTGCCTTGGCAACGACGGCCATGAGGCCACACTGAATGCACCGTAGCCGCGCTGTGTTAACCTTTTCAAATTCGAGGGACCGAGGGAGTGCTAAGGCCCTACTGGCCCTACTGGCCCTACTGGCCCTACTGGGCCCATTCAGAAGGTGGCGGACCACGAGGCACGAGCACCACAAGCTTGGAGAGCGCAGCACAAGGGACCACGAGGGACGGCGACCGCCCTCGTTGGTCGGGAGCAACAGATGTGCACATCGATCAGCGGCGACATGCCCTCGCTGCATGTCAGGGAGACCTTGCGGCGACCATCCAAGCACCGGCCCAAGCCCTGCGCAGCTGATGTCCGCCGTGTCTGGGCGCAGGGTGGGGCTGGCAAGCCCGACTTAGGGTCAAGGCAGGTGCAGCACTCGAGGGCCGCACGGAGCCCGAGCACGAGTGGACACCAGTTGGCGATGCACGGTGCGCGCAGGTCGTCGGACCCGCTTGGGCGGACGACGAGGTGCCGAGCGCACACGCTGCCACAGGCACGCCACTTTCCGTGTCGTCGACCTGCCCGTGTCTTTCATGGCATGCAACTCTTGCACTTGAGGAGCACAGCTGCCACCGTGATCGAGGCTTCTGGATAGCTTTGCAGGCATTTCATGGCAGCGAGTTTCCCAGCATCCGTACTCTTCGCGCACATGACCTCCGCAAAATGAGGGATGCATGTACTACCCAGCTTGTGTGGGAGCCCAACATCTGAGACATAGCAAGACTGGAGGAACACTGTTGTCAGGCAGATGTTGTGTGCCCTGCAAAGCTGTCAGGCTGTTGGTCTGGGCCACATGGAACCTCTGACATGAAGCTCCGCGCAGGCTGCATCGTGCACAATGTTGGTTTCAAGGCATGCCTCTCTTGCACATCTGGCCCCCCGCGCGCGCACGATGTTCAAGTGCCAGGGGAGGGGGAAGTAAGCACGCACCGGGACAACAAAGCCGAGGGAACTTCGACAGCCACCCGAGGAAACCGCCGGACACGCGGGAAGGCTAAGCCCTGCACGTGCGGACATGCTTCGCCGCTTCGCGCTCCTTCAGTGCGGGCGAGCTCGGCCATCGCCGCAGCTCATGCAAGTGACTGTCAGCAGTGCGGAGCAAGTTGCGCGGGGCCTGCTACGTTCAGTGCTAGTCGGCTACATCGGCTACATCGGCTAGGCGCACAAGCTGCACAAGGTTTCCTGCCTTGGTGCTTTGCTGGGCGCTTTGGTTGCCTTGGTCCTGTAGCACTTGCCAGGCACTTGCCAACGACCAACATGAGACTCTCGATGGTGACTTGTCAGATAGCCGCGGAAGCAGCGAGCCTGCCTCTTTTGGAGCCATTCGGGCAGAGCCCTTGGCGGAGTCAGAAGATTCAAGAAGTCGTTTGAGATGGCCAAGTAATCCGCGTCTGAGCGCCATCGGCGAATTCGAGCGGCCCGAAGCCGACGGTCGACCAAAGAAGCCTGGGCATGTACACTCGGAGGCCCCAAAGATGTCACGCCCCTGACAGGCTCCTGAAAGGCTGAAAGGCCCCTAAGTCCAAGTCCAAGGTCAGAAGCTTTGAACCTCACACAGCTGTACATCCGACACGTGCGGCGTTAGCGGCTCTGGCTCCAGCTCCTCCGCATCCTCTGCACTGCTGCGAAAACGACTCATGCGACTCATGCGACTGATGTTGCTCATGCGACTCGCTCCGTGTACGCAACCACCAGCGGTGCCAGGCCAGAACCCGTAGGGCACTTGGTGCAGGCGACGCGCACGCAAGGCAAATGCACGGGGTGCTGGAGGCCTCTCACAGGGCACTTGCACTTTTGTGCTCCGCCGTCACCGGTGCGAACAAGCCACCTTGAAACCTTTGGGCACGAAAGGCCGCAGAGCATGCAGAGCATGGCTGAGCGCTGTGTCCACACGAGCCATCATTGTTGGATGCCCTCTGTGTACCAGCTTGTACCAGCCTGTACCAGGCAGAGCGTGCTCAAGCCGACCAGACGGGTTCGGGCGAGGATGGCGAGGATGGCGAGGATGGCGAGGAGGGGTGAGAAAAGCGTAGCTGAGCGAGACAAAGCCGCGAAGGCACGCCCGCACACGGGGTGGGCAGCGAGGGGAGAGGGCCCTGCCAGAATGGAACAGTCCCTTCCCTGTTCGGCAAAACATGGCCAGCGTGAGCTTTGGAAGGAAGGAATGCAGTCAATGCGCGGGTTCCAGAGATGCTGTCTGGCTGACATGCGACGAAGGACATGTACTTGCCAGAACACTCACATAAAATTGAGCAACGGGTTCAATGCACTCGATGGGTTCATGGGGTTCACTGGATACACTGGGCTCAGTGGGAGCAACAGGTTCAGTGGAGTGGGCTCACGTTCGCTGAAAAGCACCTGGAGCCTTTCTACAGCTGTGCCCGTGCTTTGCCAACAAAACCAAATCCAAGTTACCAGAGGGTCGCATTCTGGCACCGTCCGAAACAACTGCGGGAAGAAACGACCATTGGCAATGTCCCTCTTTGGCAATGTCACAACTGGGCTGCAGGCCTGCAACATCTATACAGTGATCGGAAATGCCGTCGATTCGCATGTCTGTGCACAACATTCTGCATCCAAGAGCCCACAAAAGCCCCCTAAAGGGTGAAGATCAAGCTGGCCTAAGCTGGCCGGGCTTTGACAATGTGACACTTGCCGTAAGGCTCGCTGGGACATGAGGCATGTGCTGCGGGATGCATGTGCAGAGTTTCCCGGATTCCAGGGCATGTGGACACGAACCCGAGCTGGGCTTGTGGGCTTTGTCGGGCAGGTCGAACAGGTGTCAGTTTGCAGCAACCTGACAACGTGACCGACCGACAGCGAAAACTTATGCAACTTGGCGTCCACAAGTTCGATGACCCGAGCTCTCATACAAGCATGGATGCCACATGCAGCATGGACGTTCGAGCTCTTCTTATGTCAGGCATGGCGTGCACTGGCTTTGTGATTGCACAAAGCTGACGCACTCAAGACACTCAAGATGGCCTTCGGGCATGCAGACTCCACAAGCTCAACACGAATGCTGCTCCGGAAGGGCCGAATCGCAAGCAGCCAGCGCACAGCGCGGCAAATCCACAGAGCCACGTGAGGCGCCCTACCGAGGCAGGCACGCTCGGGCCGGTCGGACTGCTCGGACTCCCGCACAAGTGCTAAAGAGACACAGACATGCTGCAACCGTGTGCCTGCAACTTCTGCAACGCCTGCAAAGGCCGTCAGGCTGTGACTCCTCTTCCGAGAGAAAGGGCAGGGGCCGACAAGCGCCAGGGGCCTGTGCAAAGAGTCGGCTGCATCTTCAACCTCGTGGCTCCGCTCAACCCGCCCGCTCCAGCAAATGGAGATGTCCATTTGTGCAACTTCCGGCATGTGGACTTCCTCAGCAACGATCAGGTGTCGCCTTTGCTTGTGAGTTGTGAGCTTTTTGCTTAAAGCTGTCGGACCCCACTCAGGAGTCTACGAGGGGGGCTCCCTCCTGCTGCAGGGCGACCCTTCTCCCCCTTGCTGTCCCCTGCAAACCCTGCGACGACGTGCACTGATGTGCTCCTTAAGACGGCTGGAAGTATCCTTGAGCGAGAGAATCCTCTCACAGGAGTGGCGAAAGAGCGAAGGCTCGCAGGCGAAGGTGGCGAAGGTGGCGAAGGACGTAGAAGGGAAGCAAAAAGAAGCAAAAGCCAAGGAGACAAATTTGGCAAAGAAAGGGGCACAGGGTGCCACCAGCCTCTCACGGAAGGCCCTTCACCTGAGTTGCCTAAAATCTGGAACTCGTCGGGGCGTTTGTTCTCTGCGACAAAAGTTACTCCGCACGAGCAGGAAGGATCGACTGGTCGCAGTGCCCAGGGCGTGAAGGCATCACTGCGACTCGGCTTCACGAGTCTATCTGCATAATCGCTCATCGGCCATCATAGGCCATAGGCCCTTAGGCGGCCTTAGGCGTTCCAACTCTGTGCGCCTTTCAGAGATGTAGCAAGGAGGCCTTGGAATCCTGGACTTCCCAAGGGTGGCACTGCCGGTCTTCGTCTTCGACCTCCGCAGCCACTCCAAACGAAGAGCGAATCATCGCGCACGAACCAGGTGTGAGGAAGATTCTGCCAACTTGACGCCCGCAGCGACCATGACGGCCGTGCCTGCTAATTGCCTGCTACTTGCCTGCTAAGCTTCCCATCAGTAGACCGCGAGTGCCAGGTGCCAAGGCGAGGCGAAAGGTGCAGGATGGCTGAAGCTCCCGAAATCTTCTGCTCAAGCTTTGCTGTTGCACGGAGTTCACCCGGACCTCACGGACTCACGGACCTCTAAACTTCAATGAAGCAACAATTCACACTCCTGTCGTTCCACTTAATGCATCAGCTTGCACTCGTTATCTGAGACCTTTGTGCAAATTCCACGCTCTGACTTTGTGCCTCGCTTTTCACTGTCAAAATGCAAGCTCTCAAAGGTCCTCTGAGCCTCCTTGTGGGGCACGTTTTTGCACTCCGTGACCCAACCTGACCCAACCCCTTGGGTTCCCAAGCAGCTTCGGCCTGTCTCAGCCTGCGGCTAAAGATCAGACGTGCGGAGGGCCTCGCGCGAGGCCAGTGCTCTACGGGGCCGCGAGGAGGTGCGCATCGTGCGCATGCGATCGTCCGACTGTTGGTCGGCTTTGTTGAGAAGTGGAAACTTGAGAAGGAACGTGCCATCACTTTTCCCGCATTCACGTTCAAGCACTCTAGAAGCTCTCCGCAGGATGCCGACTCGGATTGGGAGGGTCTCACGGGCTGGACGAACTGAGCACTCTACGTCACAAGTGCAGACGTGAACAGAGGAGGGCATTCTCCTCAGCTCCCACAGGGAGAACATACCATTCCCAGTGGCTTATCCTTGCACGAAAGGCTTGGCGCCATGGGCAAAGCAGCTGCGCTGAGTCCGTCCAGCTGTGCTGAGTCACATGCATTTGGAATTGGGCTTTGCGCTCTTGCGCATGCCAAGTGTTGCTACTGGTAGAAGTAACTAGTGGAGCTGACTGTGCTTATCAAGGCCTAGCTGTTTCCAGACAATTGGGAAATGTCCCGAACAGTCGGAACTATTTAAAGTGCCTAGCGGGCCTAGCGAATGCAGGCTTCAGAGTTCGAAGGCCCGAATGGGTCTTGAGGTTAATGCGGCGGTTCATGAGACCAGGAAACGGAAGGACAGACACCCCGTGCTAAACAAACCACCGGGTACTCAAACCACAGCATGCATAGCATGCCGCAGGTGCAGTCAGGACATTGGGGGCGCGGAAAGAACCCAAACACGTCCCTGGCGACGTACACCTGAAAGGTTCCTCGCGCACCTTCTGTGATGTCAGGGCAGCACACGTCGAGCAGCCACTAGTGGGACGGGCGCACTGGCCTTCGCTGTCTCAGGTACGGACTTGAAAGATGAGGCAGCAGGGTAGCGGCACGGTGCTCCTTCAGGGACCACGCCTGGTCCGCAGACTTGGAACAGGCGGCCAAGCTTGTGTTTAGTCTAGCTGATGATCAAGACAGACTGCTAAAAAGAAAGTTATCTGACTGGATCAACCTTCCTTCCCCACACAGGGGTCTCGGCTTCCTAGTATCTTGTCATCTCGGCTCGCGGCAGAAGTCGCACACGGACGAGGCGAGCGCAGCGCAGTGTTGCACGGCTTTGAATGTCGAGAGCTGAGACATCCCGGACAACGCATCGCCCTCTCCAAGCTGGCAGAGGGTCGGAAACAGCAAAGAAGGCAAAAAGCAGCCAGCAAGGAATGCTCCGGGCAGCATGGGCACCTGGGCGGCGAAGGGCTCAGGGCCAACAGTTCCTTTTGAACGGAGACAGTGCGACGCTGTGGCAAAGGCAGCGAGCTCAGCCTGGACGGAAAGCGACATGACGCTGCTGCTTGCCGATCGCACACAGCAGCTGCACCGCCGCTGTGAAGACCCAGATGCTTGCAGGCACTTGCAATGGAGCCCATGTCGGAATGAAGTGCCGATGAGGTGTTGACAAAATACACTCCTACTAACTCTCCAGTAGATCTCGGTGCGCCCTGAGCCCTGAAGCTCTTCTACAGCCGCAGCTTGGGCTGCACGGGCTGCACATCAAGAAAAAGATGGCCTCCCTGCTTGGAGGCAGAGGCTTGCACCATGCCCATGGCTTGCTGCATCAGGCTGTAAGAAGCAGGCGACGCCGGCGACGCCGGCGACGCCGACGACGCTGGTTTCAAACACACTTTGAAAATGCGCCGCATGGAAACTCTGAGACATGAGGCAGCAGCTCGGCACGTCTCTGTCAACTGCAAGCTCGAGGTATGTGTCAGGTGTTCAGCCGTCACTGACACCTAGCCTGACAGAGCTCATGAAAACGAAGTGGACCTTGGTGTCAAAAGCTAGCATCCTCTATTAAGCCTCCAGAGACGGATGTTGCACTGGCAGTGCGCGCACTTCTGCTTTGCGTCGACACATCGTGTAGCAGCTAGGATTCATCAGAGGCTGTGAGCGCGTTCTCCAGGTGCCGGCTGACTTCACATCGCAAAAAGAACCACGGTGAGCCGACCGAGCCGCCATCAAGCCACGCAGGACGTCAAGAGGCGGACTGTTGAATGGAGGATGTCTGGTAGTGACCGATCCAGGCAGGGGTGAGCAGCAAAAACTGCCCTACAAGGCTTCGCGGGACTTCGCTTGACTGTGAAATTTTCCACTGCATTGCCAAGTGGGCTGTCCGTCACTCCCGCAAAGTCTGAGGCGGGCATGGTCGCTCCACCCCACCCACCCCACGGCAGCTTGGAGCGAGCGTCACGCACGCGAGCACGGAACCCTCGAATGCACCTGCCCTTCGGGGCGAAGCAGCCGCAAAGCTGCCTTGCCGTGCCAGAACTCCGAACTTATTAACTTATCTGAAGCTCGCTTCCGCTTCCAAACAAGAAAAAAGCCTTTGTTGACATGCAAGGCCCGTGCTCGGGTTGCCCGGGTTCGGTACCGCAAGAGATAGGCCTGCAGCTGCTTCAAGCCATAAGCCAGGGCTGCGAAGGCCTTAGAGTGAACTTCTCACCAGCCTTAGTAAAAAGCAGGGAAGCGTCGTTGCCGATGCCTGACGTTTCGAGGAACCCATCAGGCATCACAAATGGCGTGATGCGATGCACCGGACGCGACGGATTTGACCTTGACCAGGTGCTTACGCGTGCCGCGGCACTAACACTAACTCAGGCTCAGGCCCAGGTGCATTGCTCGCCTGGGACCTCTTCACCTTCTCACAAGCGCAGCTTGAGGTCAAGTTGCTTCACAACTGGGAACCGCACCCTACACTGGGAGGTGGTCAACTATGGAACGGATATGGGAGCTCGCTGGTCAAGTTCTGATGGTGCCCACGCAAGCTCATGCCGCAGCAGCACTTGGAATGGGCCGGATTGTCTGGCTCAGGATGCTTCTTTGACTTTGGGGCTGATTTGTCGCTATTGTCGCCAATGTCGACAATGCCAAGAAAAGTAAAACCGTGCTTCAGATTTCCTGGCCGTGAGCTGGCATCTTCATGACCTCAGCCTCAAAGATGCTGTGCATGGACAATCTTCCGGCAGCACGCTGACACTGGGTCTGAGCCTGAATCCACTGAGCGCATCTGTCATCTTCTGAATGTTCTTTTTGTCAAAGCTCGACATTAGTTGTGTTGTGTGTCTTGTTTCGCATGGTTCGCATGCTTCTCTCTTCCCTCTTGTGGTTACAAGCGCTCAAGCTCTGGCAGAGGAGCCGAGGAGCGTGCTGCGAGAATGGTCACGATGCAGGAAGGAATTGGTCTGTCAGAAGAACCTGGTACAAGGATACCCCTGAAGCGCTCTTTGTACTTCAAGCAAGGACTTATGAATGCGCCGAGCTTAGCAGGAGCTGCCTCTTGGGGCGTGCACAGCCCTGTATGCTGGTGCGTGTCATGCCGCTCGTGGGCACGCGAACAATTGTCCTTCGTTCTTGGTGTCTCCATGGCACTTTTGTGGCGCTTGCGAGCTCACGCTACATCAAATAATAAGTCTGTTCTGGCATCCGCATGCAGCCTGCCATTGTCAAATGATGGGCTTAGAAGCTGCAGCTGCGAGCAGAGGCAAAAGTCACAGCACGAAGAGGGCTGACCGGGACTGCGGGTGCCCGCGACAATGGCCTGCACTGCTTCCACGGCTTCCACGGCTTCCTTGCTGTGCCAAATCGCAGTTGCCTTGACATTCCTGGCTGTCTTGGCTGTCTTGGCTGTCAGCCTACGCGGTCAAACTACCCTTGGACAGCCGCAGCGTGAGAAGCAACGCTAAGGAGGAACACCTTGGCATCGTCACTTTTTCCACTTCACTCCGGCACTTCTCCAGAGAAGGGATGTCCTTCAAGACGCACTGCGAGATGAACCGATAAATCTGGGAAGGTGCAGCAAAGACATCCATCAGTCAGGCAATTCAGCTCAGGCCGTGCGAGCCACAATTGCTGAGCTTTGGGAAGCCTTAAGGAGGCCGAGGGAGCTGCACGCTCATTCAAAAGCCTTGAGAGAAAAAATCTCCCCGTGCGAGCCGTGCTGGCTGGCTGCAGCTGACGTGCGAAGCAACACTGTTCCGCGGTCATTCAATGCAGAGCCAAGGGGCTCGTCCGGCAGGGGGGGGCCAGTGAGGAATGCAGCCGCCGCCGCATCTCACATGTATTCAGCGCTTTGCCACACAAGAGGCACTTGCAGTTCCGCTTAAGCAGTCCCACCCTGTGCATCTTGTGCGGACATGGCGAAATGGACTAGCATCCGAGCTCATCTTGCAAGCCGAGACAGGTGAGGACTGCCGGCATATCGCTCGCGGTGAAAGCCCAGGCTGCCCAGGCGTCTTGGCATTGCGTTTCAAAAGCCATCGTGCAGCTTGCATACTCTGATACCGGCGACCAAACATGTCTTCGACAGGCTAAAGCAACGCAGCTTGTAGGCCGAGAACTGCCGAGAACTGCCGGCAAGATCCTTGAGGACAAGCGCTGCGGAGGGCGTTCTATGGTGTTTCAATGTTTACGCGAGGCGCGCTGCAGCAAAGGTGCTTAGTCCTCACCGGCAGGTGTGGTCGGTGTGGCCTTGCAGAAGCGATGGTCCATGTCAAACACAGAAAATTACTCAGTACAGAGCTGGGCACAACTCTGCCCCTGTGAAGGCAGTAAAGGCCAACATTCTGCTACGTGCCCGCACAACTTTGATACCGGCGACCAGGCAGGTCTTCGACAGGCTGAAGCAACGCAGCTTGTAGGCCGAGAACTGCCGAGAACTGCCGGCAAGATCCTTGCGGACAAGCGCTGCGGAGGGCGCTCTATGGCGGATGAATGTTTACGCGAGGCGCGCTGCAGCTACAAAGGTGCTTAGTCCGCGAGGCAAGTGAAACACCCGGCAGGTGTGGCCGGTGTGGCCTTGCAGAAGCGATGGGCCATGTCAAATCCAGAAAATTATTCAGTACAGAGCTGGGCACAACCCTGCCCATGTGAAGGCAGTACAGGCCAACATTCTGCTACGTGCCCGCACAACTCTTGCGCGCACCTGGGCATTTTGTGAATGTGGTCATGCCCATCATGTCGCAGACAAGGACACGGAGACACGGTGAGGACAACCCAAGCCAACTGCAGGGCTTTGGACCGTTACGTCAACTTTTGGTCTTCAGGGCGGCTTTCAAGGATGGACCACATCATGGCATGAAGACTCGAAAACTCCCGGCACGAAGATCGTGCAGTCTTGCGTGCTGGGGCACAGAAAAGCTGTGGGGATGGCGACTGAAGATCGCTTCAGGTCGCTGACACTTGAAGGCCTGCATGGCCTGCATGGCCTGCATCTTTGAGAACTGCGAAATCCACTGTGATCTGGGCGAAGACTGAGTGTCTGCAGCTTTGGCATGCCGCAGACAAACGCCTGCCTTGAAGAGTGGTTGCTGGGATGGCAGAAACAAGTGCGCAGAGCTTCTGGCAAACACAATGCGACGCGCGTGCCGAAGAAGACAGGGCGGAGTGCTGGTCTGGCAATTGGCGAGCAGAACAGCAAGCGGGATGAAGGAACATCGGGACTGAAAAGACCACAGACATCTCTTTGCGATCCCTCAACTCCAGACTTTGAACTACATGAAGGCGCATCGTGATCAATCAGGTCGTTAGAAACACGGGCGTGCAACTGTGTGAACCCACGGCTTCTGCACGACCTCATGTAGCACTGAGGCGAGATGGGCAGGCAACGCTGTGGATTGCAGGAAGAATCCGGTTGCTGACCTGTTGCGCGCTCCTTCCAAAGCTGAACTGGGTAAACTCTGCACGAGGCAGGAGGCTTACTTCTTGCTGCAGTGTCCAATGCCAGCCCCTTACTTCCAGTTAAGCAAGTTGGGGGCCCGCAAAAGCGAGTCACCCTGAATCTCTGACACTGCGGAAGCCTTTGAGACTGCTTGCAGCACTGATCCTATTTGCAGTCACCCAACTAGCATCACCAACTCACACTCAAACGCGCGCGCATTCGTGTGCACGCCAGGGCTGACACAAATTGTCCGCCCTAATGGAGGTGGAAATGTATGTGAAGGAATTGCAACAACTAGCGTTGTTGCGTACCAACAGGGGCACTAGCTGACCCAGTTCATTGCTCCAAGCCGAAGAGCAACTCACGAGGCAGGTGCGGCATCTCCTTCAATTGCCTACGCAGTCCCAGGCGTACAGGGCATCAAGCAAGCTGCAGTCACAGCCGGTATCCATGTGCTGGTCTTCAACGTCTTCTGGCAAAGCGAGCCGAGAAGACAGACTACACAGACTACACCCAATGCTGCCTCTGACGTCAGCAGGGCTTCTGTTGGAGACGGCTAAGGCACGGGGCCTCTTGGTATGGACACGGGCTTCACATCGTGCTCGGCTTTTGCTCACCTTTGCAAGCATCTCGGGTGGCTTGCAAGCTTCCTGCAGCTGTACCAGGTCGGGCCAAGAGCTGTCACGCAGTCATGAGGGCCTGCTCGCACGGCCCGTAGGGCCCGGAAGCCGCACTCCGACCTCCTGCTAAAATCGCATCATAGACGGCTGGGGCCATTGCCGGCATGGCTTTGCACAAACCATTTGCAAAGCACCTCCACCTTTCAGTGCATGTCTGGTGGGCTCCTCTTGCTCATGCTGCCAAGGAGGGGTAGCATCACGAGAAACCGAGCGGTAGCACGGCAACAGGCTTCAAGAAGCGCTGGGCATCTACCTTGAAAAGCATCCGCGAGTCACTTTACCGGGTCGCGCCCCAAAAACTGTTATCAGGGTTTGCTCCGTGCTACGCTCGCATGGCCCCCAGCTGGAAGCCGAGCTCCCTCCTGGAATCGCATCATGTGGCCGGGGCCATTGGGGCCATTGGGGCCACTGCCGAGATGGCATTGCACACATCAGTTGCCATTTGCACATTTGCAAAGCACTTCGTTTGGTGTATCAGATTGGCTCAGCTTAACCAGGATGGGTAGCATCACAAAAGAAGTTGTATGCTTCCCTCAAGACCTGCATTGACCTTCGAATTTGCTGACCCATGACAGATGCTGCGGCCACCTCCTTCCATGCGGTCCGGGAATCCTTGGTTGCGGAAGCTGAGAAGCGGGTCGAGGCGCCGGAACTTTGGGTTCTCGAAATCTCTGCATGCTTTCCAAGTAGCCGTCTGAAGTCTTTGAAGTCCAGCGTGGAGTACATGGATGAAACTTTGCCCACGCCACATCGAATCAGAACATCTAAGGAATGCCAAGATCCAGGTCATCCGGAATCAGGTGGCCTCAACAATAGGAGATACCAAGAATTACACAAGACTGTCACACAAGATTTCCCAACCACTGCGCAACAACATTCTGCGAATTCAGACGCAGCGCTCTGCTTTGCACAAGTCCTCTCTGTTCAAGTGCCTCTCAAGTATGCTCTGCCGCTCTGTGGCTTAAAATTGCAAGAGGCCCCCCCGCCCCTTGTGCTCAACCCGCCGCCATTTAAAGGGCAAAAAACAAACTCCATGTTGGCCGGCAACTATACACAAGCCCCCCTGCAGCGATATCAAAGGGAAATCTGCCAGTTTACCCATGCAGTCCGTTCCTGCAGCCTTCATTCCATGCCTCTCAGCGCTCCAAGTGTGCAACGCAGCATTGCTCCCGCATTGCTCCTGCAGGAACCTTTCTTGGGGACGTTGTTACTGGCCTTCTTTCCTCCCTTCATCCATGCCCAGCTTTGTCCATCTCACGAGTCTCAAGGCATCCCCTCTTCGCTTGGCACTGCTTTGGAGTGTGTCCCTCCTTTGGCATACGACTGCACGCTGCCGGTGACGGCTTGGAAACAAGCACGTTATCGCTGGATTCCGGCCTCCCATCTCCTGAACCATCTCCCGTCATCCCCGGTGCGTTTGATTCGGTCGAGCTTCTAAGATGACTGATACCGAATCCAATGAGAAGAATCTTCAATGGAGTCCAGACATATGATGCACACAGACACGCCGTGTAGAACATGGTCAAAATAAATTGGAATGTCACATGCGAGGAATGTCAAAAACACGCTCACTTGGGTCTGTTGAGTCTGTTGGCTCGGCCAGGTGCGCATTGGTCTTGCTTAATTCGAACAGGGGTTGTCCTTTAAACAAAGGGAAAACACAAATGCACATGAGCAGAACCTGTCTGAGGCTACAAAAGGCACAGGAACACGATTGATGAATGTCTGCGCCTGCATCCATCCTGGGATGGAATGGATCATCTCGAACGACCTTGATCGAAGCGAACTCGACGCTTAAACACATCATCCCCGAAAGCCGACATGCACCTACACAACATCGCAACATCGAATCACTCCAGGTGTAAACGTACGTTCAGTACGTTCAGCGTTCGTTGAGCGGTGTACCGAGAATTCAATGGAAGGGTGACATCGCCCACCTGAGAACGGCTTTGGTCTTAGGACTCACCTGAGTCACCTTGCACTTCGGTTTGCCGCGTGTTTTGGGTGCAGGATGGCGCAGTGCCGCTTTCTGCAACATTTTGCGCTTGCGTGCTGAAGCGACAGAATTGGACGCACCGCAATTTGCACAGGCGACGTGGGATGGCTTCGGTACAAAACGTTTGCCATTTCAGGTTCAAGACTTACATCATTCAAGCCCAACATTCAAGCCCGGCTGCTTCATCATGCCTGGTTGCTTTGCTAGCTGCAACAAGTGGCAGCGGCGGCACAAGCTTGCACCTGGTGGCCACAATGCGACAGGGTTCCCTCCTATGACCCCAAAACACAATAAATAACCTTCGAACCTCAACCCTAATCCATTTCATATGCACCCTGCGCCCGAAAATTCGTACACTCCGTCCCGAAACCCTACCTGAACATGAATTCGAGGGCCGGCCGGCCTGAAAGCTAAAATCTTAATGCCAGCCTTACTGCAAGTCCAGCCAAAACACAGCAAGAGCCCCATTGCCTTACACATATATACATGTAAACAAAAACGTGCTAGGAGCAAATCTCCCGCCTGGAACGCAACAAGTTCTCAACCATAGCCAGCCCGCCAGGCACCATTGCAACATGGCGAACTCCACGCATTCCGCCAGCTACCAGTTCGCACCTTGGTGCAAAAATGCAAGCTCACACATGTTGAGTGTCACAAGCAAAGGAAGGCAATTGGGCACATCCGAGACCCAAGCACAGCCCCACTACCATCGGCCGCCTGCGCAACCCTGTTTCGGTAGGCTTGGACCACAAAAAAAACCGCAGCTGCAAACAAAATGCCGATCTGCACTGACATGAAAATTTGAAATAAAAGCTTGGGAGCGAAGCCAGAGCGGTTCACAGCTTAAATTTGTTGAAAGCGGGGCGGGCATCCTTGTGGCTTGGGGTTTTTGGGCTATCATGCCCTGACCCACTCTGAAGCGGGAGCCCCATGCCGGATCACGTACCGCATGCCTAACCGCCACTGCTCCTCCGGCGCAGGCGAAACAAAAGAATGCCGGTTTTGAAGAAGGACTTGTTCCGAAGGAAAGTCTTGCATTCATCTTTCCCGACTGCTTGAAAACATTTGCATCTCCACGACAAAGAACACACAACGGGCCCGGGCCCTTCTCAAATCAAAATACACACGACAATACAACAAGATGATCAGATCACGGTACTCAAAAGCTTTCCGTTTTCTTTCTTGCAGAACCACTTGTTTTGTTCAGACCCATTGGCAAGCGTGGTGCTGGAGTTCTCGCGGGACGCCGGAGACTCGTGCAAGTGTCGGGGGCTTGCCCTACGGCCGACCATGCTCTCTGCCTTCGTGTGGGATGGACGCATCCTGCATCGCCTGGGCATTTGCCGGTAGCGAGTTCGGCTCAACAAGACCAGTTTTGTCCCACCCCTCAGAAGTCTGCTCCGAAGGGCTTCCCATGGCTATCGCAATTTGCAGCTCTTGGCCATGTTTCGAAAATGCGACACATTGTACCAGCGAAAGCCCGGAATAGAACGTATCGAACCGGAACGATTCAAGTTGTTTGGAACTCGTGGGTTTAAGAAGCTCAGACGCTATTTTTATATAATAACAACACTGCTCTCCTAGGAAGAACAAAAGTGAGGCAGTGAGAAGCATCATGGGAAGCCAAAACAAGCATCACAAACGAACTGCCATGCACAACTGAGCAGTAGCGGGTAGCACTAAATACAAATCCACTACGATCACACGACTACGCCTACGACTGCGACCACGACTACGACGACGACTTCGACTACGACTTGGACTACGATACGACTTGGACTACGACTACGACTACGACATGACCGCGACTACGCCTACGACACGACCGCAACTAAGATTCCGATTGCGATTGCGATTACGATAACGGCTACGATTACGATTACGAGTACGAGTACGATTACGATTGCGATTACGATTACGATTACGAGTACGAGTACAGCACGAATACGATTTCGGCGACGACGGCCAAGACGACGACGAGGACGACGAGGACGACGAGGACGACGAGGACGACGAGGACACCGAGGACGACGAGGACGACAAGAACGACGAGGACGACCGCAACAACGACGACGTGCTTGGACCCGGGGCAAAGGCCCTTGCAAGCTACCCAGGCAAGCCTTGCGGGGCTTAGCGTGGTCGCTCAGCAGTACTCAGCTTTTGCGCTTTTCGTCGGCAACGATACGATCCAACGCAATTCAGTCTGGCCCACGCTTCGAGCCGATGTCCAAGAGCTTATACCAAGCAGCAGCCCTAGCAGCTGCAGCACGTTGGCAGGCATTATGGCTGGCGCCGCGACTCTGGTCTGTTATGCTACGGAGTCAGGACCCTGCTTTTGAATGTTCTCTTGAGTGCCCGCAGCTGCCGTCGGGTTGACGCGAAATTGCACAAACAAAAAACAACGCACGGAGAAGCAAGTCAGAAGACAAACAGTGGGTCAGAAAGGCACACCAACGTTAACCTCTACAACGAAACGAAATTTTGTAAAATAGCCGTCACATATCTCTTCTAGGATGGGTACCTACTTTGTAGGGGTCTATCGGGAAATGTATAAACCCCATACCCCTACCCGTCTATCCTCCAAGGGATCTATTTACAGGGTCTACCCGATGGGTCCCTACACAGGTGCCCTATAGGTAGGATAGGGGGCTATACATAGACGGGCCACTGTGGAACCAACAGTTCTTGGCATCTGGGAGCAGAACGCAAGCGACGATTGCATTGAGTTCTGGAGAGTCGGAATACAATGCTGCCGTGAGTGGTGCAGTGGACGGTTCATTCATACAGGATGCCATGCAGTTCGTGGTGCAGGACGAGGTTGATCTGCATGTGTTGTTGGTTTCGGGTAATTTATCCCGTGTGTTTTGCCACGCATGAATCATGACATGAAAATGCCAGCCCAGCTGAAGCCTCTGGCTCACAGCTGGCCCCGGCCTAACCTGTAGGTGGGGCCTTGAGATTTCAGTTCGTTGAGGCCCTCTACGCCCCTAGTGCTTTCTAGTGGCCTCAGGCCTGTAACCTGGTGTTTCTCCCTCTTGGAGGGTCGCCTCGCCCCATGGTTTACAGGACGCCATGCCTATCCGCGCAGCCTATGGCGAGCCGCCGGACGACTACGTCTGCACTCGGCCTCAATAGGTTTTCTAGCGCGAGCAACGTCGAGCTGTCTTTGAGCCGCCTACTACAATGAGCCCAGAGGTTTTCGGCTGCCTCAGGAGCTACGAGACTCTCCGCGCCTCTTGGTGCGCCTACTGCAATGAGCCCAGATCCTGGGCAACCGGCACTCAGGAACTACTCTCAGCGCCTGTTGACGCCGTTGCGCCCAATTCGGAAGTGCCTCGGAGTACCCACCACTCGCAATGTGCCCAGAGCTTCACTGCATAGCGGCGCAGCCATTCTGCTCGACTTGCAGATCAGCCGAACATGCACCTCCTACGCCCACGAGCGGTGCGACCACTTGGTCATAGCTTCAACGCGCAGACGTGTTGTGCGAAGTGTCCAAATCAAGGAAAACTTGCGCAACCCACTCCAGTAACTAGCTCAGGCCACACGGCCACACGAGGAAAAAGAAGTTGGTTATATACAGTTGTAAGGTGTTATGTTGCTCCAATAGTAGCAGTATCCCTGCCAACGGGGAACACAAGGTAGCTAACCAGGTATTCCTATGCCGCTCCCGATATCGAATGTCGGAAGGATCCCTAGAGTTGCGACCTCCAGGGGGTTGATGGCCTATCCACCAGATGTATCCGCTAGCCGTCCGACCACACGTTGTACACCTGATAAGATATCCACCTGAACGCTCCCCTATACCCAGTGTCCTCTAGCCGTCCGACTGCGAGTTGCAAGGGGTACAGGAAAGTGTTCAAGGGTTAGGGGACTATCCCACAGAGTTCTGTCCTTTTCGGCTCCTCTGGCCGTCTGACTCCGAGTTGGCGATCCCAGGCCCGACCCGAAATCAAAACACCTCTCAAACATGCACCCTGGCAAATCTAACTGACCTCTTTGCGCTAAACACCCCCCGTTTTCGGGGCACATCCAGCGGTCAGAAAATCGATGAGTTCGCGACTTCTATCCCAGTTAGCTTCAGGCAAAACAAGAACGCAGGAGGCCTCGCCAAGTTGAGCACCAGCCCCTTTAGGGCGCCCACCACCACCCGCGATTACGGCATTCACCTCAGCGAGCCTCAGAAGCAACACCGCCCTCCGCTAACCACGACATTCATCGCAGTAGCACAAACCACCAGTCCGTGGCCGTTGGCTACGTCCCTTGCCTTTCGTTCTGTCCCATATACAATTAAACACTCACTCTAAACTCCTCAAGAAAATTTGAGCATCGCTCCTATCCCGCTTATCTTCCGACTCAGTCCACCATCTCCGGAACTATCCCTCACGGACATCATGCTTCTCACTTTATTCAGTACTTCTCGATGTCAGCATAGTCCCTCC